TAAGGGCGGCGTGGAGGGCGTGCCAGTGGCAGTGGGCGTGGGATTTTTGCACTAACAAAACCAAAACAACAGTGACACCCACTACCAAAAGTTTATAGTCTATGTTTGGTTTTTTTTTTGTTTTTTTTTAGTCTTGTTTGGCAATTTTCGGTGAGGGCCAGAAACTCGGGGGATAATAAAAGAATACAGCAAACAATGCCGAATGAAACTGGTACAAAAGTTAGTTGTGTTTGTTTTTGTTTTTGGAAACTGGCTTTTGTGCTTACTGCCTCTCTCATGTGATAATAATAAGCCGGACTGGGTGGAAAAACCAGGCCAGAACAAGTCTATGTATCTGGGAGGCGGGCTGGCTAATTCGCATGGAAATACGAGCTGGTTAAAATCCGCAGATGGGCCAAAAAGTTGAAACAAGGTCAACAAAGATTCTTGAATTTGATAAGAATAATTTGAGGGCCCTATGGCCCAGTTATTACCAAAAGGCTCAATTTTGACTCAAACATAAACAAAGTTTTCAAACTGAAACTAAAGCTTGTTTAGTTTAACTTTTTGAAAGGATTATTATTGGATTTTGATTGAAGGTTTATAGAAAAAGGATTATTAAATTTGTTAAATGTAAAGATAAGAAATTTATATACTTTTAGTGATCAGACACTTATAATACTGTTGCAAGTTTTAAGGACGATGTATCGATTAAAACTTCAAGGCGATGTTATCGAAGTTGGTCGGTTTCCAAGAAGGAGGATTAACGGTTGTCTCCGCAAGACCAGTGCAAGACCCGCAATGTATCGATAAAAGCTTCAAGGCGATAACGATAATCACCTTAAGCCCAGTACAAGACCCGCAATCAATGTAATATATCGATAAAAGCTTCAAGGCAATGCTATCGAGCCTGGTCCATATCCTGGTCCAGAAGAATTAACGGTAGTCCCCGCCATACCAGTGCCAATACTAAAACATTTTTATTATCTTTAAAGTTTAAACTTAAAGTTTTAAAGGCTTTATTTTAGTTCCTAGAAAATATACATGTTTAGTATACTTGAATAGTTCTGAATTTTAAAAAGAACACGTGTTTCCAACTAGACATCTTATCTAATCAAACTTTTTTTTGTAGAAGAGTTCTCAGAATATTTCCAGACAAGTTTCCTTGCCTTTTTCAGCTTCAAAAGTAATCATCAGAATGCGGATAACAAAAGTTTTCGCCTTTCCTCCGTCCAGTTTGCTCTTCGTTATTTTCTTCTTTTTTTTCCAGTTTTATTTTTTTTATGGGGTAATTCACGTGGCACTAATTGAATTAGTTAACTGACTTTTGAGTCTGTTTCATATTTATCCCTTGTACTTGGAAATTATACCGTTAAACATGATGAACTTGCAATAGAATGCAAAGTGCGCAATTAACACTGTAAAGGGAGTAAGGTACATAACGGTTAAATAAGTAAACTCACCAAAAAAATATTCAAGGCAAGTGTGGATTTCAGTCTCAAGAGTACCAGCAGCAGCTGTCTGGGTTACTAATTAAAAACAGCTGTGGACAAACAAAAAGGAAGGGCCACTTCCTCAACATTCGGTTTCAATTCAAGGTATCGAATTTCAAACTCAACATTTTAAGGCTCCGAAACACGCAAAGTCATACCAGATAGCATTTAAAGTCAGGATTTTAAAGTGGTATCTGTTTAATACTCTTTCTAGTATGGAATTATATACTTACACTCACTTTTTGAATTATAAATAATTATGTAGCTATTTTCTAATTATTTCTGATTCTAATAAGCGATAATTACTTTGTTCTCACTTATGGATTGGTTTTCTATAACCAAGAATCAGAGAAAGTCTATTTAATTTTTATAAAATGCTTGATATAATATTAAATTTAAATAAATTTCTCTATCCTGAACCCCTTCACTTGTGAACAATTGTGTGAAGTGTGAGAAATAGTCCTTGATGTCTAAATCGCTCCAATAGGGGGTATAGCAATAAATTAAAGTCAACAAATGCGAGCGCTGATTAGTAAGTAACCCATATCGATGTCAGTCAGGTAAATAACAAAGTTTAACAAATTACGTCAGGCTCGGATCCAAATGGCCAATAAAAAAATTTGCAAATCAATGCAAATGACTGGGCAAACAAAGGGCGATGGGGGGGGATAGGGAGTTATAGGTGGCGGCACACAAAACCGAAAGCAGAATTAATTAAGCAAAGTGCGAGTTGGAGTGAGGGGTGGGATGGGATGGAAGGAGAACCCGAGATTAGCAAAAGATGTCAGTGTGTCACAAGGATGCCAATAAACGAGTTTTTTTTCTCTTTCTATTTTGAATATTAGACAAATTGAATTCGATTTTTTTTTGTAATCAAAACAGGAAAAACGAGAAAAAATTGAAGGCTTTTGTGGAATATTAAATACACTATAGTGAGTAAGATTCAAAAACTTTATCAGAAAAATATCATTATTTATTGTACTGTTAGAGTGTATTATTAAGATACATATATTATTTCTGAAATTCCTTGCTTCTTTTAAAGCAGAAAATTCATAAAATACTCAATCTTTTTATAAAAATTTAAAATAAAAATCTAAAATTATACCAGATTTCCAGGTTTTTTTATTCCGGAAACTTGTTCCATGCACTTTCCTTTTATTCATAGTTTTGATATTGGCCTATCGTATATATTTAATGAAAGTGCAGCAACGGTTGAGGCGGCAACGGCAGCAACAGTTGCTGCAACAAGTTGCACTTGCATGTGCCACTACTGGCCACTGAGGCATGCAACCGGCGAGGGAGCGTGAACGAGACAGATGCCGAGGCACACACTCACACACACACACACCTCACCACCATACCATACTTTAGAATTTTTAGTTTAATGATTTATAACCGGTTTCTGAGGTGGCAGCTCCCATGAGAGGCTGTTGCAGTTGTTGCAGCAGGGTTATTTGTGCCCCGTCTGCTGTCTCAGTTTAATTACACTTTTTTTTTTTTTTTTTGTATTCCAGCGAACAAATAAAAAAATTTTATAACAATAGCGGAAGTTATACAAAAGCCGCAAAACCGGCCGCATAACAAAAAACTAACAAGGGTTGAGAGATAAGCCAAAGAACTTGATGACGAAAATGAAAAAAAAAAAAAATTAAAACAGACTGCTGGCGTAGAACATGTGACGAAAGCAGTGACTTGGAGTTAACAACATTTAACTGTTGTTTACACTCTTAATTGCCCTATTCCGGTCCAAGTATTGTAGAAAAATGTTCTATAATTCATAACAAAGTGTTACTTTAGTAAAGTTAACCAAAAAGAGAAACTTATAGTTTAAAACCAGAATAGCTAATATTGGAAAAACGTGATTTTGCATACATCTCCGAAATCATTTTCTCCCCAATGCCTATCAGCTTAATATATATGAGCAAAAAATGTCCCCTCGTTAAACAAGCTTACCTCTAAGTGAGCAAAAAATAAATAAAAGGCCGTCGTCTCCACCATTCAAGTCCAATTGCAAGGAAAGACTTTCCGTTTTTGTTAGTTTTTGGATTTTTTTTTATTTTTCGCCCAGTTGCTTTCAACAAATTGAATCAAATCGCGCAAAAAGCACAACTGCAAATTGTAAAAAATTGTATTTATTATAGACATTGACTTGGCACACACTTTCACAGCACAATTAATTGGCTAGATTTTTCTCCTTCGCAATAGTCAGACCGCCGCCACCCGCCAGCCCGCCTCCTCAACGCAAACAGCTGGCCAAGTTGTTAGCCCACATTTCGCACAGTGGACACCCGGGTGTTGGAAACTTTCGCTCAAAACGGATGCAGAGCACAGCGAAAAATTATTTCATTAATCATTCTCCAACTGGAGTCTGCAGATTCTTTTATTTCTCTAAAAATATTTAAATTAGATTCGATTTTGAAAAGATTTAATATTTTGGATACCAAAGGAATCCTTCAAAACAGGCATTTATCGCAGGTACAGGCTCAACATTAAATCAACTTTTACAGGCCAGGTAAGTAATATTTATTTTGAGTGTATCCCATGCGAGTAGGTGGCTTGCGGAGGAGGACAAGGGTGAAACAGGTTTCTTGTAACAGGAACCTTTTTTTTTTTTTTTGAATTTTCTTAAAACAAACTAAACATTTTTTTCTTCATTTTTTCATCAATTTGCACATTTCCGGTTTCGGTTTTTTTTTTTTAGTTTATTTTGAATATTTATTGCTGATTGGGATTTTGTTGCCGTTTAATTTACGAGTTGTTCTAATTTATGTTGTTGGCCCACAAACAAATATTTTCATTTATCTCGCTTCGCACTTTCTTTCGGCATTTTTTTACGGCCCAAAAAGCGATCTTGCTTTTTCCTCTCTTCTTTGCTATTTATAACAGAACTCACACGCACACACACACACACGCACACCCACTGCAACGTTCAGGTGAAAATTAGTGCAGAAATCTCCACCGATCGTACGAATATTTTAAAAATTAATTACTTTTACGAACAAGTCTCATTAGACGACACGTTTTCCAAAATACACAAACTAGACAAACGATACTCGGCGGATTATTTTAAAAAATTTGACTTTTGTCTTTAATTTAAATAAAGGTAAAAAAATTTAGCTGAACAAGCGCGAAAATAAATTATGATTTTAAAGAAACATACATTCCGGCACAACGCGGAGACCACCGATATTCATACCTTAGCTGATAAAACGAAAATAAACAAAAACACCAACGAAGAAACAAAAACAACAAATAGTGTGACCAGGTAAGCTAAGAGGCTTTCTTACCGCGAACTCTGTTACTTTCTACTAACGGAAACTTGATTTATTTTTTTAAATTTTAAATAGATTTTATTTTGTTCAAGTCATTTAAGTATTCTACTCTGTCCTCCAATAATTATGATTATTTAAATTTCCATATTAAAATCTGATAGAGGAATATTTTTAAAAATTTAAGCTAAAATGCAAGTTTTTAACACCTAATATGGCATTCAAATTTAATTATCAAATTACTAAGCTAACCAATGACAGAAAAATGACAGGACGAGGGTAAAAATTAAGACAATCGCAAGTGAAAATAAATCCTTATTTAACTATTTGGCAAATTTGAACTACAAAGACGAAACTTAATACAAAATATATAATCGGTGGGTTTAAATTGCAGATAATTACGAGTCTTCCTCTCTTTAGCCTGGGAAAATGAGTTATTGCATTGAACACCTTAAGTAATTAAGGAATACGAACTAAAAAGGCAAACTTTTGCGGGTCAGGAGCGGCTGGATGGCGTGGAGCAGCAGGTCATGGAGATGTCCAAGGGTAGCTCCTGAGAGCAGACAAAGGTCGAGGTGCTGGAAGTTTCATTGAAGCCGCTGTCGGTGCGGTACAAGGGAATCCTGGGTCCCTGCTGCGGGTTCGCAGCTGGGGGAAGGTTCAAATGCTGCTTAGTGTTCTGCTCTTCTATCTGATCATCTTCGTCCTCTAGATTGGCACTGAAAGATTGCGACAGGTTCTTGCGCTGAGCCGAGCGATGTCTCCTATGTCCCCGTGGCGTGTCCGAATTGGAGGAGCTGCAATTAAAGCTAAGGGTGGAAAGCTGCATAGCTTCTGCATCCTCCTCCTCGGTCTCCACTTCGTCCTCCTCATCATTCTGTTCCTCCTCCTCCGCTTGTTCTTCCTCCTCATCTGATTCCTCAAACAAGGGCTGCTCTACATGCATTAAGGATTGAGACATCTGACGGGTGCTGTTTACCCTCAAGCGACTAACTCTTTGATTGATGCTACAATCCGAGTGCTCCAGGGCACCCATGGGCGATGAACTCCTGTCGGGTGTAAACTTCAGGGCAGTTCTCTCCGACAAGGTCTCATGCTGTTCCGTGACACTAACTTCTACCTTGGAGTAAACCAATCTCCTGCTCAGATGCTCTGAGGGGGCAATAGGTGAAGGCAATTCCAGCTCGTGCATTAGGAGTTTTCTCTTCCCGGAGCAATTACCGTCGTCAGGAGTTCCCGGTGGCAATCCACATAGATTTCGGATCGGCGAAAGGCTGCCAAAGCTACCCTCGGCCGAGGTCGAGTCCGAAAGTCTGCCGGCGAACATAGTCTGCTTACCTTGAGGACTGGAACCCACCACTTGGGAAAACTGCTCGGCCGGATCTTGCTCGCCCAATACGATCACATTGTGCAAATCGAAGAGCTTCCGCCGCATCGAACTGTTGAATATATCGTGGCCACCACTCGACTTTCCCCTATCAGACAGCCTTCCCGCCAAATGAGGCTGGAAGTACGGCCGCAATGCATCCTCGAGAGCTTTGGGTAGCACGGGCGGCAGCGTCAATTCGGTTTGCACTTCACAGTCACGCTTTCTCCGAGATTTGTTGGATATGGGCGTGTAATCCTCATTCTGATTGAGTACTATGCGCTGTCTACGCAAAGGACAATCCACGGGACTTGGCACAATATGGGACTCCTTGAAAAAAGTACTGATGGCCAGCTGGGCTTTGGACTCCAGGTCAGGATCGGGTGAATCGTGGAACTGTGTTTCGTGGGGCTCCACATCGGCGGGCTTCAGCTGGGATACCTCCTCAATATTCCACTCGAATTGGGTTGAGGAGAGCTGGGGAGTCCTGGCCCGGAAAAGCGAGGGACTAAAAGGAAATTTTCTTGACTTAATAGCCATAGGTACACTTTATAATACAATATGGTTACCTGGCAATCAGCGGAAGGTGCAATCGATCAGCCAAAGCTCCTTCGAACGGATTCCTTACCTTTTGCAATCTTTTGGGGGGCGGGGTGCACACAGCTCCCGACATTTGAGGGCTACATTTTCCATTTCCATTTTCCTTGCCGCCATTCGTTGGCGTTGCCACCGACGCCGCCCCGGAATAGTTGCTATTTGAGGCACTATTTCTACGTGCCCTACACTTCAACTCACTCAGATTTGTGAAATATCTATTCTTTATTGCCTGGGGCGTCCGCACCTCGCTGTTCGGCATCTTTTTCAATCACAATTTGGTCCAATTTAGTCTTAAATTAAAAGGGCGAGGGACAGATGTCAAAAAAGGATCAGTATTTTCAAATGCAGCAGTGTGGGCAAGCGCCAATGTTATCGATTCGATGAGTTAATCAGTGTTGCCAGGTCTAGGCGCCAAAATATGCTAGATTTGAAGTGAAAATAGCTAGAAATTGTATAAAAGTATATAAGTAAATTGTATATAAGTGATAAATATATGTATATGTAATAAAAAATAAAAAATACGAGCCTTTTATTTTATTATTCTTAAGCTAATGCACATTTTATAAAGTTTAAAGTTTGGTCTGCAATAATTTTATCTTTATTTTTTTAGTGCAAAATTAAAGTATTGAATAGTTCTTAGGTCCCTCATTTAACTTATAAGGTCATAATAATAATTAAATGCTGATATTACAAGCCGAACTATAAACCGTTTTGAAATCGCCAACTTGGCAACACTGTTACCGCGCCAATTTTGGTCACACTTTTGTTATTATTTTGCCAAAACAACTATTACCGTTTTTAATACAATGTTTAAGACTGTTTTTAAACAATACAAGGTAAAAAGCACAAGCCCAGACCTAAGCGATGTTGTTAGCTTTGATGAAATCGACGACAAACCGAAAGAGGATAGTATAGCGCAACGTTTAAGCTTCAATAATGAAATCACCGACTTGCCGACGTTTCCTGGACTAAAAACCCCACGTGCTTGGCAAACTTTCGTCCTTAAAGATCATCCCGGCTTGCTGGTGATACGAAACCCTTTTACCGATCATGGGCAGCGTTATTGGATTGCTCGGTGCCTGCGCGATTATCCAAGGGCACCCAACATTGTCAATTTGAACGCCAGGCTCTTCGACGAATCCGTCAGGAGCGACTGGTGGAAAGAGCTCCAGGAATGCAAAGATCCCACCGAAAGGCAGCGAATAAAGGCTGCCATGCGATGGACAACTTTGGGCTACCATCACGATTGGGACACCAAAGTCTACAATGAGCTCTCCAAGTCCCCTTTCCCGCAGGATTTGAGCAGGCTCTGCCAAGTGTTTGCTTCCTATTTGGGCTATCATGACTTTAAATCAGAAGCCGCCATTGTAAACTACTATCCTTTGGGAAGCAGCTTATCGGGTCACACGGACCACTCGGAACCAAATCACTTAGCTCCCTTGTTTTCCTTCAGTTTTGGACAAACGGCTATTTTCCTCATCGGCGGAAGAACTCTGGACGAGAAACCCACTGCTATTTACCTGAAGAGCGGCGATGTCTTGGTAATGTCCGGAGAATCCAGACTCTGTTACCACGCCGTTCCTCGCATTATCCAAACGGATGAGTCATTGGCTAGTCTTCCAAATGAAACTGCTTTGGAAAACTCCAATTTAGTGGACAATGATTTATTTGAACAAGTAAGAGATTCAAACTATTGGAATCCCTTCAGCAGTTATATAGCAGATTCTCGTATAAACATTAACGTGCGACAAGTTCTACACCCAGGCGATTTAAAGTTAAATTAAGTTTATTGTTTTGTTATTTATTTTATATAAAAGTTATTTTGTCTATAAAAACTATACAAACTGAATGAAAGAAAGTGGGGACATTCAAAAAGGGCGCCATTCGTGTTGTGAAGCGTCAAATTATTCGAATCGGTTAATGCCCCAGTATTTTTCAAGCAGGTTCAGGGGAAGACTTGCGAATCTGGGATAAAAATAGTCTCATAGATTCAGAAAAATGGCAGCTTTCACCTGGTATACCGTACAAAATGACAAATATTCTGTAAAAAAATAGCATGGGTTTGAATGACCAATTCAAAAAAGGAAGCCATTTGTGTTGTGCAGCGTCAAAATATGTAATTCCTCTCAATTTGAAAATGAGTTTTGTAGGTCAAATTTGTATGGGCTGCAAAACCAGGTTGGCCCACTTTTATTCGATTTTCTCTTAAACGTAGAGAGTAATTTTAATTAATATTTTAGGAATTTTTCTTGGTTAATTATTTTTTGATTTTTTCGGGACCGATTCAAATAAATAAATACTAGACAGGCATTTGTTCATGCGGCTGGGCACACTGTTACCTGAACCGGTACGAAACGGTAAGTCAAAGTAGAATGTAAAAAAAAGGTCCCGACTGTGCTGTTCGTAAAACAGCTGTTGGCTGCGTGTATGTGTATGTGAAACGAAACAGAAAAAACGCGAAAAGTCACTGAAATATAGGTAGAAAAAAAGCGAAAACCGGCCGAGTTCCTATTTAATATCATTTCGCAGCCAGAGCGCAAAAGTGGCCAAAATTCGGCGAAAACAGCGCAAGTGTGACAAACCGTTCGTGCCATCGCAGCCGTGCACAAAACGAACGAAAACAAAAGAGAATAGTGTTGACAGCAATACGAGCGTTTTGAGCAGTGCTAGCAGCAGCAGCACCTATAGCAGCGGCAGTGCAGTCGTTGCAGGCATCGGCCTAGGCGTAGGCAACAACAAGCGTCCGGGGGCGGGAGTGGGCCGGGGAACGGCCGCTAACGAAACGGTAGCTGCTGCACTCCCAACAGCAACAACAACAACAACAACTAATACAACAGCACTAACATCAGTTGCCGGCCGGTGTGCGGCGTTTTTCGGCGAAACTGTTTCAAGAGGTGGGCGTGGCGGTGGGGGCGGCGTTGGGGGAGCCGGAGAAAGCGCAGCGAAAGCGAAAAAGGAAGAGGAGCAGCTAACAAAGGGTCAAAGCCAAAAGAGTCCCCTGAACGCTGCTGACTTTTCAATTGCCCTGCGCACCGTTGAAAAGTTAGCGACCGAGCTCGACGCCGACGCCGACGCGGACGCCAACGCCAGCAGCACAGCCGACGCCAGCAGCGCTGTCATGTCAGAGACGGGCTGCCGGCATTATCAGAGCTACGTGAAGGAGCACAGCTACGATACATTCCGGGTCATCGACGCCTACTTCGCAGCCTGCGTCAACCGAGATGCGCGAGAGAAGAAGGTGAGAGCCGAAGTGTGTGCGTCTCGACTCAGGTAGGGGTGGGGGTGGTGGTGAGAGGAACAAAGCTGTGAAAATAGAGATGATCAAATATTTGCATAATTGTGACTAAGTCACGGCGATATTTAGAATGTTTTTAGTCACGTGATTTATCAATAAGAAAAATAAAACGAAAATAAAATACTTAATTTTAAATACTTTAAAATAATTTGTATTAAGTTTAGTTGGAGAAGATTCCCATGTATCCTTAAATAGCTGCTCATCTCTGTTGAAAATTTAACCCTTCGCATCACCTTTTTTTTTGCATGTACGAAAAAGGTGATAAAGCATGAGAGAGAGAGGGGAAGTGAAAAAAGCAAAAAGGAGATGAGCAAGCATAACCCGTGACTCAGTCACCGGTAAGGTCACTGACCCAATCACGTGGTGAAAACATAAATTGCAAGTGATCGGTATTGACACATTAATGATTGTCAACAAAATTTTGATTAATCGAATCATGATTGATGAGAATCTTTATCAGAATATAGTATTTTTTTAAGGTTTATGCTTAAAAGTAGCCTATAACTATAACTTGTAATATCTTATAATATCTTATAAACTCCACAGGCCATTCATTGCAACTGCTTCGAGTGTGGAAGTTATGGCATCCAGCTGTACGCCTGCCTGCACTGCATCTACTTCGGATGCCGTGGAGCCCACATCACCAGCCACCTGCGGGCGAAGAAGCACAACGTGGCCCTGGAGCTCTCGCACGGCACGCTCTACTGCTACGCCTGCCGGGACTTCATCTACGATGCGCGGAGCAGGGAGTATGCGCTAATTAACCGCAAGCTGGAGGCCAAGGATCTGCAGAAGAGTCTGGGATGGCAGCCATGGATACCCACAGCCAAGGAGACGAATCTGCTGTTGGCCAATGCCCGCCGGCGGTTGGTGCGACCGAATCAGACAATCGGACTGAGGGGCCTGCTCAATCTGGGGGCCACCTGCTTCATGAACTGCATTGTCCAGGTATGTCGTGACTCCTGGACAACGACCTTATCCCAAGTGATTTATTGTTATGGCGATTTCAGGCTTTGGTTCACACTCCGCTGCTTAGTGACTACTTTATGTCGGATCGCCATGATTGCGGTAGTAAGTCCTCGCACAAATGTCTCGTCTGCGAAGTTTCGCGTCTCTTCCAGGTGGGTGGATACAGTGGATTATAATAATACCATACTGAATGGATTATTCCTTTTCTGTAGGAGTTCTATTCGGGCTCCCGTTCGCCGCTGTCTCTGCACCGGCTACTGCATTTAATCTGGAACCATGCCAAGCATCTGGCTGGGTACGAACAACAGGATGCGCATGAGTTTTTTATTGCCACCCTGGACGTGCTGCATCGGCACTGCGTCAAGGCAAAGGCCGAGCACGAGAACAAGAGCAGCAGCTCCAGCTCCGGCAGCGGCACCAATTCCAGCAGCTCGAGCAGCTCCCACTGCTATGGGCAGTGCAACTGCATCATCGACCAGATCTTCACTGGCATGTTGCAGAGCGATGTCGTGTGCCAGGCCTGCAACGGAGTCTCAACCACCTTTGATCCCTTCTGGGATATATCACTGGACCTGGGGGAGACGACAACGCACGGTGGAGTCACTCCCAAGACGCTGATAGACTGCCTGGAGCGGTATACGCGGGCCGAACACCTCGGATCGGCGGCCAAGATCAAGTGCTCCACCTGCAAGTCCTACCAGGAGTCCACCAAGCAGTTCAGTCTCCGCACCCTGCCCAGCGTTGTCTCCTTTCATCTGAAACGTTTCGAGCACTCGGCCCTCATCGACCGCAAGATCTCCTCGTTCATCCAGTTCCCGGTGGAGTTCGATATGACGCCGTTCATGTCCGAGAAGAAGAATGCCTACGGTGACTTTAGGTTCTCCTTGTATGCTGTCGTCAACCATGTGGGCACCATCGACACTGGACACTATACTGCGTATGTCCGCCACCAGAAGGACACTTGGGTCAAGTGCGATGATCATGTGATAACGATGGCGTCGCTCAAGCAGGTGCTCGACAGCGAGGGGTATGTTTCCCAGATTATATTAATAAGAATTCTGATTTTATTTATCTTTTTTTATTTAGTTATTTATTGTTCTACCATAAAAACGTGCTGGAATACGAGTGAGGCATCCCATGGACATCCATAGAGACTGCGTCCCAAGAACCGTATACAAAACAATACCCATGCATAACGAATAAATAAATAAAATACAAGAAAAGAGAGACAAGGCCGCGGCAGCGCTTACAAATTAAGTAATAACTTAAAAAAAGAAAAGAAAACAAAAATTATAATAAAACAAATCATACACTGGGTATTCCCTCGCTTGAGATTAGTTAAGCTCCGGCACTTGAAAGTCTAAGAAAACGAAATCCATCAAGAATTTATTTTATTCACAGACGATTTAAAAATGTAATCTAAATACCGAATAACTTGTTGGGGACTCCCCCCTCCACTTTCCAATCCATAACAGTAAAACTAAATCAATGATAACAAAAAAACATTTAAATATTTTGCCTATGCATGTACATATTATTACCAGGAACCAGGATCTTGAAACAAGCTCAAATCGAACAAAATATTTCTGCTATAATGGAGGTTTTCTTTTACGGTGGAAATTCTTTAAAAATTCTACTATTATTGCCAGGATATTCCTTTTTATAGACGCTGCTTTATTATTTTCTGTGTAAATAACTATAAATCATTTTTTTAAACCCGTTTTAGCCATCTGATTTAAAAATGTATTATTTAATTCATTTTTTTTATTGTTCAAACCTCTAAATACTTTTTTTAAGCTGCCTCCATAAAAATACAAACAAGTCTTACAAGAAAAAAAATACAAAATCATTAGTCTTCTTAAAAAAAAAAAGTATGAAATCAAATTCCAATTACTCAATAGCAAAAAAAAAAATTAATAATTTAAAAAAACATTTAAAAAAGACAAAAATTAAAAAAAAATTAATTTTGTATCAGCTTGGGCTCGTCCGGGAATTGAACCCGGGACCTCTCGCACCCGAAGCGAGAATCATACCTCTAGACCAACGAGCCAGTTGAAGACGGAGCGCCGGATTGCACACTTAAGAAGTGGTGGTTTTGACGAGAATGAGGCTACCTATGCGTGGACATTGCCATAAACGTTTAAAATGTTTATAGAAAAGTTTCAAAAATAATAATAAACAGTTGACGCATAAAATAAAATATATGTGAAAATAAAAATTTAATTAAATTGTGTTGAGCATCTTTCTTGGTGTGACCGACAAATGTGCAGAAAATGCTTTCGTATCAAAGACACAAACCTTTTAGTGTTGGACAAGTTTTCAAATTGGTATAGAAATTAATATTCTTAAGCGGCAAAATTTAAAGTTTCCGATGGCTGGTAGATAAAATTAAGATTTTAGGTTTAATAAATTAAGATAAAAACTAAAATTAAAATTAATTAATATTTATACACAATCTTAAGTAGTTTTATTTATCGTTATACATTGTATAACCATACAGATAGAGAGCATAAGAAATCAAATTTAAATCTGTGGTGTGAAGCGTTGCATAATATCGTATGTCCATCAAAAATATATTATTTAAAAAATAATAATAAAAATAATTGTTTCATTTTTCAAAGTTTCAATTGGCAACCTGCGAAGATCGATTTTGAAATGTGTTGGCAAACGCTTCAAAGTCTATTCTAAGCCTAGTTGAAGAGGAGGATCACTGTCGCCACAAACAAAGAGACACAAAGAAAGTTCTTATCGTCGGATAAAGAAAAAATGGATCTACAAAAGTCCACCGGTTTTCCAAACATCCATTCGGTTTACAAATATTGCATTTGTGATCGAAAGCGCAATGTTATTTATTGCAATCTCTGCAAGCAATCTTTCGTGGGACGCATCTCTCAGCTGTGCCCCAAACATCCTGAAGTAGGTAGCAACAGTATGAAAATTGCAATTAAATATTTACCGTTATGTCTATTTAGGTGACTTTTCTAATGGATGCTCGTCATTGTGCATTCTGTGGGGCCCATGTTAGTTATTTGCAGATCACTGACCAGAAATGAGACGCAATATAGAAGTATTAAAACGCAATGCTGTCGTTGACGAAGCTTGCAAATACAAATAAACATTCATCGTGAAGACACTATACATAAGCATAATGTATACATCCATACGTACATATTTTGAAATAAAGGGAATTATGTAAATAAATGGGTTTGTTTATTTTATAGAAAAATCGCCAGGGCTTCGACTCTAATGGGTAGCTTACTAAAGATGTATGAGGTTTTTATAAAATTAAAATTAAAGTTAATAAAGGCTTGTTTTTTGTTTTTAATAATTAGAAAAACTGTTTTTAGCGTAAGTTAAAAACGTAAGTTCTACAACACTTTTATGAAGAACAATTAAAAAAAGAACTTATCGACATTAAATGTTTTCCAAATTTCCCAATACTGGCAAGCGCCGTTAATCAAAGCTGGCGTCGAAAAAATGTTTGTAGATTAGGCCCTCAGAAAAATGCCTAAATTTCTCATTTCAAAGAAAGTTTCCGAGCTACAGAGCGGTCGTGCCTAGTAAAATTATTTAAAATAAATATATTTTTTTTAAATACATTTTCACTGATCAAAATGGAAAACAACATTAAGCCAGCTGGTAAAAAAAGACGTCTAAATCATTTGTAAGTATGAAAGTAAATAATTCTATTGTATTTTAGATATTTTCGGAACTAGTCCTAGCGATATTGCTGCTCGCTTAAGCCAGCTGTACCCAGATCTCATGACTTACTCACCGCCTCGTGGTGTCGCTACTGCCTCAAACGCACCCAAGGCCCACGCACAAACCGAGATGGTAAAAGAAGCGGATGGCGAAATCAACAACAACCTGGCCACCATAATGGATATGAATCGGCCTGCCAGTCCCCGCCTGCTACAAGAGGTGACATGCGAGATACCGTTCGAGAACCAGCACAGCCCCAAATGCATCTGTAACCGCACTCCGATCCCATACGAGTGCGGGCGATGCTACCAATTTATTCACGGTCGACTCGCTGAAGTCTGTGATAAGCATCCCCATGTGAGTTGGTCCCCAATCTCTTTGAATTCCTCTGAAATGCTCAAATTTGGTTTATTCTTAAAGGAAGTATTCCTGATGGACTTCCAACAGTGCCCCTATTGCTTAGCACCCGTTAGCCTCATCAAACCGTCGAATCTCACCTTGGAACAAATCCGCAATATCGAGGAAGCTGTTCTGCCTGACGATGATGATATTTAAATAATACTTAATAGTTATTTGAGTTCGAGACTCAATTGTTACACATTTGCTTAATTTAGACCAGAGCTGCATGTTTACCTAATATTATTGTTTATTTAAAATATATAGCATGGGGTATAAATTACCTTACCCTTTATAACATAACAAAGTCAAACACAGTAGTGTTTTCAATGTAAGGTGGTTCATCGATGTGATTCCAGTGTACTTCTGGCTTTAATCCCGTGACACAAATAGCGGCAATCTCTTTGGGAACAAAGTTCATGGATTGCTCACATAAGCTGCCAGAAAGGAACTGCGGCACGGACATGACCACCATAAACCCTTATGGCCTAGTCCCTGCAGCAGCTTGACACTGCGGCAGTGACTCTGCGCTAAGTAAGTGCATTCAATCGAATTGCTCGCCTTCCTCACTACAGTGGTGGTCGGAACGGTAGAGATGGGATGTACGTACATTCCCATAACAATAGATATGTAAACTATTATTAAGTAACTTAAAGTTGCCCTCAAGGTATTTATAATCGAATCTGTAGATAATGTTGCAATATTAATATTTTAAATACCCTTTAATCCCCCGAGTGTGCTTTTTTCAGCTCTACATGTGCTAGACGCCTCATCCGAGGGAGTTAACTGCTCAACCATAGCTTCTGGTCTCCCCTGACAGCTGAGTCATATCCGGTTAGTTGATAATACTCCTATTTTGTGCGCTTGCATTAACTTATCTGCCATCTCACGATGGCAACGTCGATTCCGGACTCCTTCCATTCAAATCAGCGAACAAATTCATGTCAGCGATAACAATTCAATCACTTAGGAGTTCAGCACATTTCGGAATCGCTTTACAATGCCCCAAAGCCAGATCCCCGTGGACACATTGTGGTGCCCTGTGCGTCCTGTGTTCTGCGGTTCTCTTGGCAACTGCTCTCGGTAAGAAGTGGTAAGTGCAGACGCTTTAGATTGCATTTGCTTCTGCTTATTTTCTATATTTTTTCTCACATTTTTCTTGCTCCCTGTCCGGCACTTTTCTCAACAACTTGGCAAGCCATTCAATGGATTCACTTCTCCTGGACTTTGGCTTCCGTGTCCTGGCGTTTCAACAGGCGACTCATAGTAAATCAATGCGACAAACTTGGGCTAAGTCATTGGAGCTGCCGGCTTCGATTTTGCTGGCGATTTGAATGGGACAATGCCCTACTACCTCAAGATGCACTTGTGGGCAAAATGGAATGGTCTGCTGGTTATTGAAAACAAACATAAATGCTTTAACTTTAATATAGCTCTTACTATCTTAATTTCTGGAAATTCTTTCTGAAAAGCTTCAAGGACCTGGCCCCCACTTTATAATATCTTAACACACATTCCTGGCCAGCTTGAAGCAACTTTTGGTCAACAACAGCAACTCTTGGTTAATTCTTAACTATAGATCGCTATTTCAATGGTTATACAAACAACATTTGAGAGACTTGTTGGCCCACTCGGCTGGGGCCCATCATCCGGCAGTGCCTTTCCTTTTAACCCCTTTTCAAAAACAGTTCCGTTGACAGAAACAGCAAGAGGAGTGTTCTCTGGCAGTCGGCAGTCCTGCCGGTTGCCTCTGTGTCCGAGTGTCTTTTGCCAGCGGGCTCTTTGGAATAACTTGGACAATTGCTTTCATGCTGATTTCGTTTCGTTCGCTTCGGTCCATGTCCTCCTCCTCGCTCCTCACAAAACCAACTTGCTTTTAAACTCATTTAAAGTTGCCGTCTAACTTGGCCGAGTATTAGGGTCACTATTTTGAGGCAGCCACTTCAAAAAATATTCCAATTAGTGTAACAGTTTTTGAGAATATTCGCTTCCTGGCAATTTCCCAAATTAAGCAGTTTTTAGTTAAACAGGGATACTAAGTTTTTGGTTATTTTTTAAGGAAAATAAAGGCTTATCCATAAGATTATCTTATAAATCCTATAAGTAAGCTATTAAATTAGTTTAATAAATCGGAAAAACCATTTGCATCCCTGGGGGAAAAATATCCATGTAAACTGACTGCTCCCCTGACCCCTTAAATCACATGGTTGCACCCTTTTTGCTGCTCCTGGATGCAGAACAGACAAAGTTGGCTTAAGTACCTCGACTGGCTATTGTCCTCGTGCCCCGGCTTGACTGCTCGACTGCTCCAGCCGCCCTCTTTCCATTATTGAAGTGTGCACTTCCGCTAAATGGTATTTGGGGCAAGCACATAAGCTTAGCGCCCCCGTCGGAGACTCCTCCCTGCCAATACTGGCTGTGGATTTAGTGGCACTTGCAATTTTTACGGCAAACAAAGAAAGGGAGGCCCAAACTGTGGCATCGTGCATCGACATTGTCCTCGCCTCGGGCGATGGCTATTTATTTAGAGATGCCCCCACCCTAATGGAGGCTCTAATAGAGTGATACATTCTACATAGGACTAGGCAAAGCAGGGCTTCTTGAAAACTTGCTGGCGTTCGTGTATCCACTTCGAAATGGCTGTAAATTGTCAACACATTCTTATTAAAGTTATTCTTACAGGTTGGCTTGTGAAACTCACTCCATCGGGAGCCCAGCACTAAGGGGCAGACAGAGTGCTCGCTCATCGGATCAGGATCTCCAGCATTATTCAAGTTGAACCAGACAAGGGCATTCCCTTTCTTTGGTGTTATGGATAACTTTAATTTGGTGAAGACGGTGGTGCCGCCCAAAGGAACTTCACTGGCCTGAAATAAGTAAAATTTTCCAAGGAAAACTGTTAAAGAATTGTCTGGGAATCCTACTTACATACAAAAGAGCTGTGGCAATACGATCGCCTCCGTAATCCTTAAAGAAATCGGGCTATGAAAATAGTATGTTTTAGTTTTGTTGAAATACATAAACTTTATATACTTACTGGACGCCTGGCCAACTCAACATAGTCAACATGCTTACCAAAGTGTCCACCCAAACCGTAATTGGTCAGATATAGGACCTTATTCTCTTCCATATTCAGACCAGTCATATCCGCGATTCGATTATTAATACCGAGAGAGTATGACGAGGTTCCTTGAAAGGAAATAGATTTAACCACTCGATTCTGCGGTAGGGGCTTTCCCTTTTGGTCAAAATCCACATATGTCCAACCATCCGTCATGGTGGCATTAAAAATGGCAAAATCCCGCAGAGCTTTGAACTCGCTTTCGTAAAGGACTTCGTGATAAAGAACTATCAAGGGTTGGACGTTTAAATACTCCATTTTCAAGGGCGCCAGTTTTAAAAAATCATGCGTTTCTCTGATATATCTGCAGGTTAAGGTCGGTGAGGGCTTGGGTTTGGGCCACTTTCCTCGACAGCCTAGTTCCAAACTTGAGGGCTTACGTTTATTTCTGGCAGCTTCCTCTTGGAATATATACTCCTCGCCAGTCAACAGTTCATCGATTACCCTTTTTATATTCTCATAGTTGTCTTCTTTTGTCACCTGCTTTGCCATGACTTCAAGTTCGGGAAAATTTTGAGCAATAGATTTCTTCTTGTCCAAATTTAAGGCTTTAAAATATTTTAAAATTCTATGAAAATGATTATTTGTTTGGGAACTAACTTACATTCTTGTACCATGGCTTTGGCATATTTTTTGTAGATTCTTTTCCTTTTTAAGTGCAAAACTTTATCATATATCTTTCCTTCGGAGGACTTGTGAAGTCTTAATGCCATGCGGTACCAGTGCGTTGATTCCGCGTATTGGGTTTGGTTATAATAAAAGTCTCCCAAAGCCACACAGTCTGGCGAGTTCAGTTGGGCTCTATAAAGGAATAAGTTTAGATTCCTGTAGTCTCTAGAGTTTTCTGACTTACTCAAACTTTCTACCCAGAAGAAAACCTTTTGTTAGATCCTCTGCATGTTGATTGTAAAATTGTTCTATACGTGTCATTCCCTTGACAGCCACTTGAAGATCTTCGGCACTTGGTGAAGACTTCAGTAGAGTCTCTATTTCTTTGGTGTTTTTGGAAGATATACCAAGTTTGAGATATCGAAGCCATTTGGGCCAGTCCTGATTTAGACGCCTTAGCAAGGGATAAGAGTTTAAAGGATTGCCCATATAATCTTCTTTCTCTTCTAGAGTCCTGAACTTGTCTCTCTTTATGGATTCTTGAAACCTAGAATAAAGAACAAAGATCAATTAATTATATCTTTAATTGAAAGAAATATATTATAAAACCTACCCTTTAATGAGATCCAGTTTGTATTGCATTTCCTCAACGTATACATCTAGATTCCTTTTTAAAGACTCTTCCAATTCTAAAATTTTAACCATGCTCATTACTGAAGTGCTATATATAAAGGATTTGGCATGGTTCTCTGATTCTTCCAAACAAATAATTTGAGAAAAATTAACACTTAACAAGAAAGTGAGCTGAAAGCTAAACCACTTCATTGCAGTTTCAAAAAACGAATGATAAGTTATTCTGAAGTTTAAAGAAACTTCACAGTTTATTGGTCATGGGTTAGATCCATATAATTTAATTAAACTCTTTTTATTTTATACATATTAAAAACCATTTAAAAAGCATGAAGAAAGTTTCATACTTCCTGGGACCATCAAGCCTAGAAAGGCTACTTCCTGGGACCACAAGGAATAATAAACATTTGAGGGAATATATGAATCCACTTGGTGAGAGCTAAAATAAAAGTTATTGTAGAGAGAAATTATATTTGAAAAATTAATAAAACTTACTCCATCTATCCCCGTTAATAACCGGACAAACAGAGTGCCTGCTTCTTATATCAGGTCTTCCATCATCGTACAAATTATACCAAAATACACTGCTGCCTTTTCGTGGAGCTATCGAGACTTTAATATCTGGAAAAACAGTGGCACCACCCTGCAGAACATCACTGGCCTGAAATTAAAAACATTAATGTATGGCAATACATTTTAAAATATTTATAAATACCAACATAAAAAATAATGGTTCCCAAGCGATCGCCCAAGGTATCCGAATTTGGAGTTTCATAGCCATCTGAAGTGTAATCGTAATGAGGTTTAAAATATGTGCCACATCCGTAGTTGGCCACTTGCAACTCATCTGTGATGGGAAAATCTAATCCTGTCATATCCTTGATTCGCTGATTAACCTTTTCCCTGATAGGTGACTTATCAGACCACCAGGAATGTTGAGCCACCACTGCCCTAAACATACTTCCATTCTTTTCATCCGCATATCCATTTTGCAAGTGATTCGACTGTTTTTTGAGTTCTTCGATTTCGGTTTCGTAGAGCACTTCGTGATACATAACGACATAAGGATCTAAGTTTATTTCCTCTAGCTTAAGAGGTGCCAGGCGGAGAAATGGTGTTGTGGTAAAGTTGTAACGACAAAATAGGTTTCTTTTCGGGGGATATAAGAATCGACATCCCTGCTCAAAGGTGGAAACAGGTGGCTTTGTTTGATAAAGCTCCTGCATTATTTCGTCATCATTACTAGAACTATGAAGGGTTTCTATTTGTTTCTGAAGCCGTTGGCTTCCCACATGATCCAAGGAGTTCTCTATCGTTAAAAGAGCAGCTTCTTCCGTCTCGTCTTCTCCAGAGATGCTGATGCCTTTGAAAGAAATAAAATGTATTATAATTAATGTTTAAATAATTAATAGTTTACCATATACAAATAAAGCCTTGATATATTGACGATGCAGAAAATCGGAGGGGTTACCCAGGACCTCGTTCAGTAACTTTTTATTATCCTCGAAATCGTGTTTACACGCCATTCGATACCACTGGGCAGCAGCCTTGTAATTCCTACGCTTGAAACTCAAATGGCCCATGGCCACACGATCTCGGTATGAAAGTTGGATACTTAAAAAATATTGGTTAATTATTAAATAAATATTATGGCCATTTTATGTTTTACTCATATTGCTTGCCCTGTAGAATACCATATGCTAAGTCATCTACTCTCAGACCATAGGTGGTTTCTATGCGTTGTAATCCCAACATGGCCTCCCTTAAGTCCAAATGATCTGGTAATGTGGGCACAAGTTCGTCAAGTTCCTTAAATATATCGTCTAGAATATTGAAATATGAAATATTTAATAATATTGTTTTTGTAAAAAAAATCTTTACCATTCCCCATTTGCTTTTTAAAATAGTCCAACCATTTTGGCAATTCCTCGCGAGTACGCCTTAAAAGCATGTATGCATTCAAAGGATTTGAAACATACTCCACCTTTTCGTTTATGGTTTGATTTTCTTTATATTTGATTGAGATCAAGTAACTAAAAAAGTTGCCAATGTAAATAAAAGTAAGTAATATTAAAATGGTAGCTTCATACGCTTTCAGATTATCGCCCAACTTCTCAGAGTGATTTTTAAAGTTCTCAACAAATTGGTGCTCCAGTTTTAATAACTTAAGAAGTTGCACAGTAGATGAATAATACCGACTCTCATTATGGCTTTTTTCCTTAATTCCCCATACAGAATGGGATCCTAAGCAGAGTAAAATTACTAAAAACTCTAAGAATCTTAACATTTCGACTGAAAATAAATGTAAAATGTACAATAATAGTTATGCTTTATTTTAAAATAATTCATTCGACATGCAAAAATTGCTACAAAATTGATGATCCATTAAGTGGGTTACTTGTTAAAGAATTTATTCGAATTTTGGATACCATAGAAAGATAATAGAAGATTAGTTAAATAAATTGTAATATTTATAGATAAAACGTCTTTTTCTGGGTAATTTCTTTAAAAGCGCAAGTTTTTCTGGACATCTGCTTAGTCATGTAAAACGTCTTGGTTAAAACTGAAAAGATTAAAAAAATAATATTAAAGAATATAAAAAAAATACTTAATAACTCACCCAACGAGTTTCCTTCAAGAACCGGACATATTAAATTTCTAGTACGAGGATCTAAGTTTCCATCATCCTTTATATCATACCAGACCAAACTGCTACCTTTTTTCGGAAAAACTGAAACTTTTAACTTGGGAAATACAGTGGCGCCTCCATGAATATCATCACTGATCTAAAAAAATAATACAGTATTATTACAAATTTAATTGTTTAAAATTATTTCTTGACTTACAAAGAATAAAATAGCTCCTACAGGCCCTCTTAGATTCTTTGAAGTGTAATGAACTTCAGCTTGATTTTCAAGGCCATAATTGTTTATATATATTTGATCTCTTTTGGAAAAATGTAATCCTGTTATATCAGTAATGCGTTGAGAAAATATTTTTGAAATACTTCTCTTATATTTTTTAGACTTGGCTGTGATGTTTAAGTTCTGCTTGAGAGTAAGTAACTTATTTTTGGGGAGCACTTCATGAAACATAGAAATGAATGGATCCAGGCTTAATATCTCCTGTTTTAAAGGGGCTATCCTTAAAAACGGAGTTGAATGAAAATTGTACCGGCAGAATAGTTGTTTTCGCAAAGGAAAAAATCCTCGACATCCCAGTTCATAATCCGTTGGGGCAGTCTTGTTTTCAGCCATTTCACTAATTATTGACTGATCGCTGTGGCTCAGCACTTCTGTTATTAGAGACTTCAAATCAGAGAGACTGGCACTTGTCATGGCTTCGTCAGCAGTTTCCTCGGCATCTTCTAGACTTTGCTTTGGATTTGATTTCATTATGGCTGCAAGTTTCGTTTTTTTTTGGTAACTTAAAAACATAATTAAACAAACTTACCATAAACTAGAATCGATTTCGCATACTTCAAATGCAACTTATCCATGGGGTCGCCAAGAACTTCATTTATTACGTTGGAATGGATTTCAGGTTCGTGTTTAATAGCCACACGAAACCACATGGAAGCTCTTGAATAATCCTTTCTTTTGAATTTATCATTACCTAAGGCCACACAGTCGCGTATCGAAAGTTGAATTCTAAAAATATGTGATTTACAAGAAACAGAATTAACGCCAGTATACTTTTTATTCCATTGCAGAGGGTACTTTTCAAATACACATGGTAAGGACTCAAAAGATATATCTTTGGCAATGATACCGGATTCCTGAACGGAATACATAAAGGGATTCGTAGATCGATATACAATAAATCTGTATTAAGATTTAAGAACATAATTTTGTTAAAATTTTGTTTTCACATTTTCGGACATGATCTCTTTAGTGGATTTTTGAAGAGATCATGTCCGAAAATGTAAAAAAAAATTTTTTTTGTCAAATTTTTTGTAAGATCCTCTTCAAAAATCCACTGAAGTGCATGAGGTTACCTTGTAGCCCCCTTCGTAGGCTATATCTTTGGCAATATGTATGTATCGGATTCTTATGTGGAATACCTTAAACGATTTCTATATCGATTCTTCACAAATCTACATTAAAATCTAACAAAAAAAATATTTTCAGATTTTTTGTCAAATTTTCTGGAGGATCCTCTTCAAAAATCCACTAAAGTGCATGAAGGTACTTTATAGTCCCCTGCGAAGGCTATATCTTTGGCAATATGTATCGGATTCTTGAGTGGAATACACTAAAAGTTTCGTAGTTGGATTCTCCATAAATATGCATCCAAATCTATTAACATGAGTTTTTTTCGATTTGTGAAATCGATTTTCCTTAGGATCTCCTTTAAAAAACTACCAGTAGCTAGCCACTTAATATCTTCTTCGAATATTAGCTTCTGTATGGGTACATCGAATATTGGAATATCTTTGCTATATCTTTATATCTGCAAAGATCTGTTTTTAAGCTGAAAGACTATATACGCTTCGAATCTATCCGAAGATTGTTTTTCTTTTTTGTTACTTGTGTTTCTTTTTCAGAAGGTGGCCTTTTGCCAAATCTATGGCTTCCAGGTTGTAAATTTCCTCCAATCGATTCATTCCTTGAAGAGCATCTTTCATTTCATTTTCGTCTGGGGATTGCGCTATTATTTCATCCAAGGTATATAGCTCCTCTTAAAAAATAATAATTTTGAGAGGTCTTCGAATAATACAATTTTTAATTATATCTTACCCAATCCTATAACTTGTTTGGTATAATTATGCCATTTGGGTAAGTCCTCATGGGTCCTACGCATTAAAGAAAATGCATTTAGGGGGTTGCTGAGGTATTTTTCTCGATCCTCTAGGCTTTGATTAACTCCAAAATGAACCGATTCGATAAATCTGCAAAAATCGAGAGGTGGCATCCAATTTTCTTACCAAAACTTAAATCTTACGCTTGTAAGTTGTTAACTTTTTCATTCAATTTTTCTGTGTAAGATTTTAGGTTCATAATAAATTTTCGCTCTAAATTTATGAGCTCTATGAGTCCCCCTTCATCTTGAGATTGATCTCTTGGTTGTTCAGCAAAACTAAATCCCCATAATAGGACTATTATTGAGAAGAACCAACCACTTTTCAACTCCATTGAACGTTAGAAGCAAACTAAAAATAGAAATAAAAACTAGTCGGAAATATTATGCCTTTAATTTATTTATTCATGGTTTAATTTCAAGTACACGTCATATATTATTTTCAGATCTTTGGAAGCAGGGCTTCACAAATAGTTGGGGCTCATAATGCAACCATTTAGTTATGGCTAAAATATACTTATCAGATTGGAAAATATGTAATATTAAGGTGTAATACTTACTCCATCGGTCACCAACCAAAACGGGGCAAACGGAGTGCAAAGATCTGGGATCTGGTGTTGCATCATCAAAGGTATTGAACCAAACCAAGCAACTTCCCTTTTGAGGCTTTACAGATATTTGAATATCTGGAAACACTGTCTGACCACCATGAACAACATCACCAGCCTATAAAAAAAAAATTTCTTTCAAAGATTTTTCTTTTGATTCTGTTACTTACATAGAAGATAATGCTAGCCATTCGATCTCCCAGTTCAGTACTATTTAATCTTAAAATGCGCTCTGTGAAATAATCATAATGCGGCTTGAATTGTCCACCCACTCCAAAATTGGCTATTTGGAGTCCTGGAATTTCATCAACCATGAATCCTGTGATATCTCTAATACGCAGGTTCAAGCGCTTCCTGAAACTTGACTCCTTGGTTAACCAAACAAGACGGCTTATGATTTCTTTGCTTTCATCCATATCTGTCCAACCATTATAAAATGTATCAATAACACCTTTCATTTCATCAATCTCCTCATCGGATAATACATTATGGTAAAGAACAATGTAGGGATCGAGGCTTACTTCTTCCAACTTCAGTGGAGCCAATTTCAGAAATGGTGTAGTTGTGGTGTTATATCGACAGACAAGATTCTTTTTTGTTGGAAATTGATTTCGACATCCACTATAATGGGCGATAATAGATGGTTCTGTGGTATTTTTTGCATTGTGGCTTTCTTTGTCCCATTTATTCAGCAATGAGTTAATGTCTTTCTCTATTTCTTCAGATTTTGAGACTTTTAATTTTTTGCTAGCTTCTTTGTAAATAGTTTCATTATTCAAGGATGGATTTGTTAGAGAAATATCTGTGAAGGTTATTGGTTACAATTTTCCTATATTTCCTTACATAACATTTTTTTTACTTACTATGGATTATTATAGATCGAGCGAACTCTTCCCAAGGATCACCTAGGATCTTATCGGTGGGGCTAAGGTTTTCCAGACTCTTGTACTGCTGAGCCTCCTGAAGCCATTCAATAGATCTATTGTAATCGCCGGAATCGAATTTATGTAGAGCCAGAGAAAAGTAATCTCTAAAGCCCATTTCAGATCTAGAGAGAAGCGAACTTAGAAAAAAAAAACTTAAAAGGTTTAAATATTTTAAATTTACCTGTATTTTTTGTTGTAAATAATACCTTTGGCCAAATCTTTTACTGTACGTGGTTTCAATACGACTCATAGATTTTTGGGCCTCATTCATGTCATAGACCCCGGGTCCTTTCATCACAATGGCTTCCATTTGATCGAGTGTATCCATTCCTACAGGGGAAAATACATAATTCTGCAATTTAGGCCAATCCTGGTGAAGTCTTCTTATCAACCCAAATGAATTTAGTGGATTGGACACAAACTTTTCTCTTTCTTTTTGAGTTGAGTGTTTGGTTCGCTTTAAGAAATCAAGATAACTAAAAGCAACTGCTTAAATATTTATAGTTGTAGTATTTAAAAAAAAACTTACAGATTTAATGTATTTACTTTTTCCTGCAAAGCATCAGTGTAAAGAGTAAAATTTCTCATAAATTCATTCTCCAGGTTTAGGAGCTTAACCAAACCCAAACACGAGGAACTGTAGTATTCCGTGTTAAATTCGAGTTCCCATTTCTCATCTTCTATTTCTTTTTCCGATTTTTCAGATCCACTATATTTTACTATGAAAAAAATATAAAAAAGGAATACAAAATGTCTCATGTTACTGTTTTGAACTTCAAATGTAAAATAAGCTGGAATTAGCTAACATTTATACGGTAGAAAATCTTAATAATAATTTGTTACGCTCATTTTAGTTTTTAAAGCATTCAAGTCTTTATTTAAATAAAGTATGGAATTACAAATCCCATTTAAGCATTAAATTCAATGGAATTATTTCGGCAAGGTCTGGAAAATATTTGAGGGACTTCGTGTAACCGTTTAACAAGGGCTAAAAAAATAATATATTAATAATAAGAATATTTAGTTAGGTCTTTATATATGCTTACTCCATTTGGAGCCGACTATAACTGGGCAGGAGAAATGGAATAGCCGTACATCGAAGTTCAAGGAATTGTTCAAATTTCGCCAAACCAAAGCACTTCCTTTTTTAGGTCGAACTGTAAGATCCTTATTTATAAAATTTATAGCGCCGCCTTGGTCCAAATCACTCAACTAAAGGTATAAATAAATTAATTAAAATTATTTTAAGACTCTAGTTAATTAATTACTTACAAAAAACATAACACTAGTAAGAAAATTGCCTAGGCCAGACTGAAAAATTGTTATTTGGTATAAAAATATATTTTAGGAGTCATATAAATCCCACCTTTTTATCCTCTTCATTAGGTATATCCAATTTAGAGTGTGAAAACCCACCTAAACCATAGTTGAATACATCAAAGTCCTTATCTTCCTTTTCCACTTCATCTCCTGTTAGGTCCTTAATGCGTTTATTCAACTTACTTTTCTGATCTTCATAGACCTTGGCAAATTGGACATTGTATTTTTGGTGATTTGGTGAAGGACTCTTGAACGAAGAAAGTGATGTATTTTTCACTCTCTCAATTTCACTTTCATAAATGACATCATGAAAAATAGCTATATAAGGATCTAGATTTAATATTTCCGTTTTGAGAGGAGCAATTGTTAGGAAGGCAGTCCGTCTTCGTTCGTAGAAACATTTTTGTTCGGATTTTAATGTTTTTGATTGTTTTGATTGGCCCATACAGCTCAATTGGGCACTGGTAAGTGGCGGATAGAGATACTACACGGAATAGAAAAATTTAGACAGTAGTTTTTTAAAATGTTACAACTTACGATTGCATCGGGCCCATAAGCCGTAAGTAGTCTTTCATGATCGCGATGAAGATGCCAAAGTCTAACGTCAGAACCGGAAACTCCTCGAATAAGATCTAAACTGGCTCTGCGAAGTCCTTTTGAGAAGCATCATGTATCATTATGAATATATTAAAAGTTATGGCCTACCTTTGACTAACAAGGAGTTTGTATAACTTATGTATAACATTGGTAACGTAAAATTGAAAACCTCCCGAAGTTCTTGGCCGTGTTCCAATTCATCATATTGTTGCAAAGCTGCCTTATGCCAATTTATAGAAGACTGCTCTTGTCCAGTATGTGTAGAATAGTCGGCCATAACCATGCATTCCAATGTATTTAGACTGGCACTTTATCAAAAATAATAAATGTTAATTTTTCATATTATGACTAAGTATCAATACTTTACTTATATTGCCTGCCCATCAAAAATCCTCTAGCTATATCCGTGTTTTCTAGAGCATAGTGTAATTGGATTGAAAAAATTCCATTAATGGCATTGTTCATGTCCTTTTCTGTGACAAAATTCAGGTCTAAAAAGTATTTAATATTTTCCAGATAGCTTTCGCCCACTACTCTCGACATGTACGCCTCGATGTAGGACCAATCCTCATGAAGACGACGAATTAGAGAATATCCATTCAAAGGATGCGATACAAACTCTTCGGGATTTTTCTTAGAGATTTCTCGTTTGGCTTGAACTTCCTTGAGAAAACTGACAAAATTAATTAATAACTTCATATTTCACCTTTAAAAGCTACCTTTCTATTGTAGTAATTTTTTCCTTTAGATCTATTGTGTAGTTTTCTAGGTCGCCGATTAAAATATTCTCCATATCTACCAAATTTTTCAGGGAAACTACCGAAAGAGTGCCATCAGAATTAACTTCCATTTTTACTTTCCATAAAAATAGTAGTGTTAAATAAATTGTAAATTTAAACCGCATATTTTAAGCTTTCAGAAGTAAAACTATAAACTAAAATAGGAAGTATTTTGGTTTGGCTGTCTGTCTCAAATGTTTAAAGCGTAACAAATATATTTAAGTGTGGAAAATTTTTAGATTTTAGATTATTTTTAACTTTTTTTACTTTGCAGTTACTTTTTGCCATGATTCAACGTGGTGTTTTTTTATTTTTCTTAGTTTATTGTAAATTTATTTTAGGGACTGAGGAACCTAGTAAAATTTCTTATGATTATGCCCTGTCTCACATACACATGGTTCCCCTATTGGAACTCAAGAAACAGGCAGTAGAAAATCTTAAAAACTATTCAGGGGTTTTGGAAAATCGTTTAAAATATATAGAACTGTAAGTATAAGATTTAAAATATATTTGCATTTACAAAATAATATATTTTCAGAGGTATCAAGCACATTGAGCATCTTTTAGAACGTCAAGATTCATCGAATACTTTTAAATTGTTTAAACTAACACGACATTTGTATTTCGATGGAAAAAAATGGCTTAATTTTCTAAAAGATAAAATCGGCTTTAAGGAGATTGCCAAGGCTCAAAGTTTACGTCCCAGAATGCCGACACGTACCGATTATATGGAATCTCTATATGCAATATATAGACTTCAATCAACATACGATCTTGATCCTGCTGAGATGTCAGGAGGTTTACTGAGAGGAAAACAATACAGGTAAGACCCAAAAAACAACCATAGAAATTTAAATATTTAAAACATTTATAGATCCAAAAAATGGAGCTCTTTGGAATGCTTAATGGTTGGAACTATCTATTATTTGGATGAAAACTTTGAAAATGCGGAAATCTGGTTTCAACTGGCCCTAGAAAAGTACTACCAGCACTCAATACCAAAACAGTTTGAAGTTCTAGGCATTCCTTATCGTTTTGTCTTGATATTGCTCATGAAATCAGCAAAAAGTTCTGGACGCTATGACGCAGCTTTGGAATATGCAAAAAAAGGAGCTTCTCTTGAATTACATTCAAATTATTGGAAAGATCAAATGGACCAAGTTAAAGCTTTAATTGAAAACCCTAAGGTCATCGACCCATTTAGGCCTGTTAAGTATATATTTAAAACAGCTTGCCGCAAGGAATATCCTCATGTCCACTTAAAATGTCGATACTTGAAAAATTCTGCCTTTTTAAAGCTGGCACCTATAAAAATGGAAGAGGTATTTCTAGATCCCCCTATAAGTATTTATCATAATTTAATCAACGAAATGGAAATCTCCTTGTTGAAAAACCTATCAACTCCATATTTGAAACGAAGCCAGTTATATTCTGAAAGTCATAATATTCTTGATGATTTTTCCAATCTTCGGACTTGTAAATCGATGCGACTAAACGATTTCCATCACTCTTTGCTTGAAAAATTAAATGATCGTATAACAGATGCCACAGGATTAAGTGTTAAAGACTCCGAGAAGCTGCAGATTAGTAACTACGGCATTGGAGGACATTTGTATGAGCATCAGGATTTTACAACCACAACTGAAAGTGATTTTTGGATTCCAGGAAATCGTGTGATTACAGCGTTGTTTTATGTACGCATTTATAGAAAATTTGTAAAATATTTCACTAATTATTTTTTGTTTTAGTTAAGCAATGTTGAGCAAGGCGGCGAAACTGTTTTTCCGAATTTAAATTTAAAAGTTTCCACCCAAAAAGGTTCTCTGATGGTCTGGTATAATTTATTTTTGAACGGATCTACTGATTCACGAGTTTTTCATGCATCTTGTCCTGTTCTAATGGGAGATAAATGGAGTAAGTTTTTAGGAAATGTTAAAATATTGGTTATAACATTGATTTTAATTTTAGTTGCCACCAAATGGCTACGGGAAAAAGCGCAAATGTTTATAAGAAAATGTTCTAAATAATTTTTGAAATAAATAAATGTAATTATTAAAAAAAAACGGTTATTTTTGGAATTATTTGTATTAAATATTGTTATTATTAAAGTGCACTTTTCTAAAGAAATTAGAATTATGCTTATAATTTACCATGGACTAAAAAAATGTATTTAGTCAACCTTAACTAACAAATATTTTAATAACTGTTACGTTTTGCTATATAAGGATCTATACTTAATATTTCCGTTTTGAGAGGAGCAATTGTTAGGAAGGCAGTCCGTTTTCGTTCGTAGAAACATTTTTGTTCGGATTTTAATGTTTTTGATTGTTTTGATTGGCCCATACAGCTCAATTGGACACTGGTAAGTGGCGGATAGAGATACTACACGGAATAGAAAAATTTAGACAGTAGTTTTTTAAAATGTTACAACTTACGATTGCATCGGGCCCATAAGCCGTAAGTAGTCTTTCAAGATCGCGATGAAGATGCCAAAGTCTAACGTCAGAATCGGAAACTCCTCGAATAAGATCTAAACTGGCTCTGCGAAGTCCTTTTGAGAAGCATCATGTATCATTATGACTATATTAAAAGTTATGGCCTACCTTTGACTAACAAGGAGTTTGTATAACTTATGTATAACATTGGTAACGTAAAATTGAAAACCTCCTGAAATTCTTGGCCGTGTTCCAATTCATCATATTGTTGCAAAGCTGCCTTATGCCAATTTATAGAAGACTGCTCTTGTCCAGTATGTGTAGAATAGTCGGCCATAACCATGCATTCCAATGTATTTAGTCTGGCACTTTATCAAAAAAAATAAATGTTAATTTTTCATTTTATGACTAATCATCAATACTTTACTTATATTGCCTGCCCAGCAAAAATCCTCTAGCTATATCCGTGTTTTCTAGAGCATAGTGTAATTGGATTGAAAAAATTCCATTAATGGCATTGTTCATGTCCTTTTCTGTGACAAAATTCGTGTCTAAAATGTATTTAATATTTTCCAGATAGCTTTCGCCCAATACTCTCGACATGTACGCCTCGATGTAGGACCAATCTCATGAAGACGACGAATTAGAGAATATCCATTCAAAGGATGCGATACAAACTCTTCGGGATTTTTCTTAGAGATTTCTCGTTTGGCTTGAACTTCCTTGAGAAAACTGACAAAATTAATTAATAACTTCATATTTCACCTTTAAAAGTTTTCTAGGTCGCCGATTAAAATATTCTCCATATCTACCAAATTTTTCAGGGAAACTATCGAAAGAGTGCCATCAGAAACAACTTCCATTTTTACTTTCCATAAAAATAGTAGTGTTAAATAAATTGTAAATTTAAACCGCATATTTTAAGCTTTCAGAAGTAAAACTATAAACTAAAATAGGAAGTATTTTGGTTTGGCTGTCTGTATCAAATATTTAATGCGTAACAAATATATTTAAGTGTGGAAAATTTTTAGATTTTAGATTTTATTTTGAACTTTTCTTACTTTGCAGTTACTTTTTGCCATGATTCAACGTGGTGTTTTTATATTTTTCTTAGTTTATTGTAAACTTATTTTAGGGGTTGAGGAACCTAGTCAAATTTCTTATGATTATGCCCTGTCTCACATACACATGGTTCCCCTATTGGAACTCAAGAAACAGGCAGTAGAAAATCTTAAAAACTATTCAGGGGTTTTGGAAAATCGTTTAAAATATATAGAACTGTAAGTATAAGATTTAAAATATATTTGCATTTACAAAATAATATATTTTCAGAGGCATCAAGCAAATTGAGCATCTTTTAGAACGCCAAGAATCATCGAATACTTTTAAATTGTTTAAACTAACACGACATTTGTATTATGATGGAAAAAAATGGCTTAATTTTCTAAAAGAAAAAATCGGCCGAAGGGAGATGGCCAAGGCTCATAGCTTACGTCCCAGAATGCCGACACGTACCGATTATATGGAATCTCTATATGCAATATATAGACTTCAATCAACATACGATCTTGATCCTGCTAAGATGTCAGGAGGTTTACTGAGAGGAAAACAATACAGGTAAGACTCGAAAAACATAACATAACATAAAAACATTAAATATTTAATACATTTATAGATCCAAAAAATGGAGCTCTTTGGAATGCTTAATGGTTGGAACTATCTATTATTTGGATGAAAACTTCGAAAATGCGGAAATCTGGTTTCAACTGGCCCTAGAAAAGTACTACCAGCACTCAATACCAAAACAATTTGAAGTTCTAGGCATTCCTTATCGGTTTGTCTTGATATTGCTGATGAAATCAGCAAAAAGTTCTGGACGCTATGACGCAGCTTTGGAATATGCAAAAAAAGGAGCTTCTCTTGAATTACATTCGAATTATTGGAAAGATCAAATGGACCAAGTTAAAGCTTTAATTGAAAACCCTAAGGTCATCGAGCCATTTAGGCCTGTTAAACCTATATTTAAAACAGCTTGCCGCAAGGAATATCCTCATGTCCACTTAAAATGTCGATACTTGAAAAATTCTGCCTTTTTGAAGCTGGCACCTATAAAAATGGAAGAGGTATTTCTAGATCCTTCTATAAGTATTTATCATAATTTAATCAACGAGATGGAAATCTCCTTGTTGAAAAACCTAACAACTCCATATTTGAAACGAAGCCAGTTATATACTGAAAATTATTATATTCTTGATGATTTTTCCAATCTTCGCACTTGTAAATCCATGCGACTATACGATTCCGATCACTCTTTGCTTGAAAAATTAAATAATCGTATAACAGATGCCACAGGATTAAGTGTAAAAGACTCCGAGATGCTGCAGATTAGTAACTACGGCATTGGAGGACATTTGGTTGAGCATCAGGATTTTACAACCACAACTGAAGGTGAATTTTGGATTCCAGGAAATCGTGTGATTACAGCGTTGTTTTATGTACGCATTTATAGAAAATTTGTAAAATATTTCACTAATTATTTTTTGTTTTAGTTAAGCAATGTTGAGCAAGGCGGCGAAACTGTTTTTCCGAATTTAAATTTAAAAGTTTCCACCCAAAAAGGTTCTCTGATGGTCTGGTATAATTTATTTTTGAACGGATCTACTGATTCACGAGTTTTTCATGCATCTTGTCCTGTTCTAATGGGAGATAAATGGAGTAAGTTTTTAGGAAATGTTAAAATATTGGTTATTACATTGATTTTAATTTTAGTTGCCACCAAATGGCTGCGGGAAAAAGCGCAAATGTTTATAAGAAAATGTCCCAAGGATTTTTGAAATAAATAAATGTAATCATTTAATAAAAAACTTCTTTTCGGAAATATTTGTAATTATATTATTGTATATTATTACTATTTAAGTGCACTTTTGTAAAAAAATTAGAATTATGCTTATAATTTACCATGGACTAAAAAAATTTATTTAGTCAACCTTAACTAACTAATATCTTAATAACTGTAACGTTCTATTTCAGTTTCATATAAAAATGCGTAGAATACTGTTTAGTTTTTTAATTTTTCTTGCAAATATGTTTTTGCAATATAAGGCCCAGGATAATAACATTTACACCTCTCATGACTTTGCCATATCCCTAGAATCCCAATTATCACTTTTAAAATTACAAGAAATTCATGTAAAAAATTTAAAAAACTATAAAAATAAATTAGCTGAACACTATCTTTCTATTAAAAGGTAAGTGATAAATTTTAAACTAAACTTTTAATGTTATTTAATTGATAACCACAGGGCCATAAAGTATACGGAGTATATATTTAATTCTGTGATGGAAAATAAAGAAAATATAATAGTTTGGTTTAAATTTCTGCGCCATATGCACAACGATTGGCATCAGTATCTAATGTTGTTTCGAAAAGAATTGGGTTCCGATGAGATTTTTCGTTCCCAGGAATTATTAGAAAGACTTCCCACATCGACGGACTTTGAAGAATCCATGGCAGCAATTTATAAAATTCAAGTCGTTTACGATTTGGATGCCTTTAATATGACGCGGGGAATATTAAATGGCAAATCATACAAGTAAGAAAATTATTACTCATTTATTTAGTTTATATATAAATCCTACTTTTTCCAGCGTTAAAAACTGGAGTGCAGATGAGTGTCTTATTATGGGTCTATTAAACCAATTGCTAAAGCATTTCGGCCAATCGGAACAATGGTTCCGACTAGCCTTGATTTATTTCAAAGGCCATCCACGTCCCAAGGAACTGGACATAAAAATTTTTAAATTGGCCAATATTTTAGAGTTATTGGTTGAAGCAAATAAGGATCTTGGTGGGTTTAATGTGGAAAATATTGAAATTTGTGGTTAGATTTATAAAACGTTACTTTGAATTTTAGGACGTTATTCAAAAGCAAAGGAATATGCCAATGAGGTTTTAACTTTGCAACCTAATCATAATTACATAAAAACTCAATTACTTAAATTAAGCCATTTAGATAAAAAGCAACCAGAATTTACCAAGGAGAATGAGAAGATGTATCAGCTCCAGAAAGCCATTTGTACAAAGGAATATCCTAAAATTTCAGTAAAACAAAAATTAAAATTGTCTCAAGCAATAAATCTGAGGTACTATCCAAACTTTCTTACTAAAAATGAAATAGAAGCCCTGAAAATGGTGTCCAGACCTGAATTGAAACGCGATGAAAACTTGTCTTGGAACTGCAGTTGCAAAATCGCCGAACTCAGAAGTTCTACCCGTAATATAGTCAACATTATTAATAAAAGAATTAGGGATACTAGTGGACTGGATAAAAAAGGAAGTGAGGTCCTTGAAGTCATCAATTATGGCATATCTGGAAACTACAATCCTGATGATAGAGAAATATCTAAAAAGGACCATAAAGCCAATGTTTTAATATTTGTATGCATCGGTTTTAAACTAGTAATTTATTTTTTAATTATTTCTTATCTTCAGTTGAACAATATTGAACAAGGTGGAGAAACCATTTTTCCCTCATTAAATATTAAATTTAAACCGAAGATGGGAACAATGCTGTTATGGTTGAATTCTGAAAAAAGAGTTTGGCATCATCAGTGTCCACTTCTCGTGGGAAATATGTGGTGTAAGTTTATGTGATTATTTAAAATAGTTTATAGTATAATTACTTTTTTTGTTTACTATTTTCAGTGGCTATGAAGAGGTTGTATTAAAAAACTCTATAAAATATAAATTAAATTCACATTAAATCTTGATAAAGAAAGTGTTTACTTTTTCAATTTTTATCAGCTTCATCAAGTGCGCCAGTTGTTTTTCATGTTATTTTATCTTGATTGCTTTTTGGGTGATATATTTTCTAAAGCAAACATATGGTCGGTCCTTCTGCCGAAAACGAACATTTAATGTGTCTCCCATAAACAATCGGAATGTCCTGAACGCCATACATTTTCTACTGAATTATAATGACGCGACACTTAAACCATAAAAATGGCAAATTTACACTTGCTGTTTTGCGCCAGAGGGCGTCTATCCGATAGATGGATGGAATTTATATGTACAACCTCTCTGTCTGGACGGATAAGGGATTTTGAACTGGTATCCTTGGACCTCCAGACCGATGCGTTTTTGTCTTTGTCTGCAATCAATTCCCCTTGAGTAAACAAATCACTTTGGGATCCTGCCCGAACTGAGATATATCTGCCAGACCATGGAAAATCAAATGCACAAGTATGTGATAATCATATTCGAATTATGATGCTCCAGCTGCACAATCTTTGGCATTAAAAACCAATTTATGCTAATAACTTACATTTGACGAGTCGTCAATTTGGCATTTGTTTACAGTCGAAATACCAGATACTCATTCGCCGACTCACGAATATAGAGTAGGTTGTAAGCCGTGGCATTATCATGTCTAAGGCCTGCCAAAAATTAATTTTCATCTCTGTGCCGGGCTTTTGATTGCCGTTCTGTGTGCGTGTGGCATACAGCCTTTGAATTTTATTTTCAGCATTTTCATTCATTCATACGCGTATTAAAATTTTTCCCCTTCCAGCTGGTTGTCTTGCACGCACGGTATTCATGGCTTTGAGGCTAAAGAATTCGGTTGGTTAGATGTCTTTATTGTCTATTTAGATTCTGACAGAGATGTGCAGAATGTTACGTTTACAAAGAGGAACTCATTTACCAAATCACTAAAGAATGTAATTAAGTATCTCGAATTGAAAGTTGATGAAAACAAACATTTCATTTGTAATTTCTTGGAATTAGACCTATAACCTTCGGCAGCCACAACATGTTCACCTATGAACATTGAAAATTAATTTATTTAAACACAAAATCAGGCTCAATTGTCATGTCATGTACCTCACACAATCCAGACACATGATAACCTTTTTGTAGGCGAACCTTTCAAGGTTAAGTATTGCCAAAGTCTGTCAAGTCGCGATTGATGTTAAAACCTTATCTCGACAACTTGCCAGTCAGTCATCACAAACAATTCTCTTCAACTATCCAGGCCTTTGTTCCACTCCTGTCAGGCAGAAGAACCTGGTAGATTGGGTCCTGGCATCTTGTTTAAATGATTATTTTTATATTAAAGCAGGATTCGGTTTCAGTAGAATTCAACACAATGAAAAATATGTCTTTGTTAAGGATAATAAAATGTACAATTTATGATCTTTAATAAGAAAAGATGTAGGCAAACAGGAACTATAGGATAACAGCCCTTTTTAGGCCTCAGATTTTACTATTTTTTCATATTTAAATTTGTATTATAGCTACTTATTTTTCCAAGTGCTAAATATATGCATCTCCTAGTATGTGTGGTTTCTCATTTATTGCGAAGGAAAACTGTTTTCATTGTGTGTAACAATTGATTTCGATTTCGACTGTGGCTCTGCCCTCGCCTTTGAATGAATGGCATCGGAGTTACTAGAATGTTCAAATGGAAATAGAATGAAAATACTCGTCACATCGTCTAGGATTCATTTTGGGCCAAAATACATACGACATACTATACTACATACTACATACCAAATACTACTCATCTCATGTCTGAATTTTGTGTGCGGCGCTTCATTTACTTTATGTCTTTTGTCTGCTCTTTATGTGAACATGGCAACAATTTGAATGAGCTCTGGGTGTATATTTCTTGGCTGCTTTTTTCCATCATTTTTGGGCGAGCTGCAATTTTATGGTTTTCCATCAAATGTTTCTGACTGTTCTATTATTTATTGTATGGCTACTTGATGAGCATTTGCCGAAAACGTTTTATGGGCTTATTTTTTCCGATTCTTGGTTTACACGGGAAAAATAGGCATTTTCAAAGGATAAAAATAAAGATTCATTTAATTTGTATATTTTTGTAAAATAAACATTTATATGGCTATTAAAAGAATTTTTTTTAAACAATAAACTTGTTTAATTTGAATTTCATGATGTCTTTTTTTAGGCTTTAAAATAATTTGTATATTTTTGTAAAATAAACATTTATATGGCTATTAAAAGAATTTTTTTTAAAAAATAAACTTGTTTAATTTGAATTTCATGATGTCTTTTTTTAGGCTTTAAAATAAAGTAGGTCCTAAAATTATATTATTAAAATATCAATATATGTTATATATTAGATCTTGTTTATTTAACTTCCCAATATTTTTCTCTCTGTATATTCACTATCAATCATTTCCCTCAAATGAAATGTCCATTTAATAACTTTCCTAGACATTTATGAAGTGTCTGTGAATTGCAGGAGCGTGTTTAGTGTTCAGCCTTCGGCCTTCGGCTTTCATCTTGGCCAAATCCACTTGTCACAACCTGTTGGACCATCGTTTATTGTACACTGGCTGCTCAAAATGGTGGAACTAATGTGCCGCCGTATTTGAATTATTATCAGAAGGCCCTGGTATTAGAGGCGTAACGATTTTAATGAGGCGAACGGAGGGCGCAGAGTGCAAAAAATGGCCTGGCGCAAATTGCACAGGATTTATTAAGCGCCGGCGACTTTTGACGAAGGACGACGTGTCATTTCGTTTTGTAATTTATAACCAAAACATAACCGAGAAGGAAAAATCGATTTGCGATATGCGATCTGACAGGCTCAGCCTCTGGAGAACTTGCCTTAAAGTTTAAAATTAAAGTTGGTCGGCGCTGGCTGTGCCATATTTTGCACTTGTTGTCGGGACAATAAAAGGAATGACCATAGTCTGGCCTTGAGTCTTGAGGTTTAGGTCATTTTTATGGCTAGTACGAGGGCTTGAAATACTCTACCAGATTGTGATAAATAATGGTAAATATTTGACTAAAAATACTCATTTTAAAGCTTAGAAACTGTAGATAAAATATATTCTAATAAATTATTTAAATTCTAAATATGTTTTGTTAATAAAAGCATCAAGTGTCCGTATAATTTAGCTGTTCTGCTTGTTGTCCAAGCTGAGATCCTTTACGGAGAGACCATTGAATTATGGATGCCTCTTAAAGCGCATTCCAAGGCTGCACAGTCCTGGACTTCTTCTGTCTGCTGAATTTTAAATGCGTTCGCATTCCTCGAATGCTTGTTTTGTGCCTCGTTGGTTACCCAATCGACATTGGTCGTCCTGGTCCTCGTCTTCGTCCTCCTGGAGCACTTCCAAGTCCAGGTCCAATTTGCCCAGGATACTCGTCTGCTATTGTGCACACACGCGCCGCTCTAATAATCCAATTTCCACGTGTTGACTTACGTGTTGTGACACTTGAGTTTGTCCCCCGTGAGAAATGTACTCTAGCCCGTAGACCATAAAGCACACACTCCACCAGACATACATATAACACTGCTATTATAGCCATGGCTAAGGAACAATTTCATTGCTGTCTGAAGAAATTATTTAAAATGTTAAGTTGAAAAGAGGTTTGCAATTCTGTTGCTTAGATATGTATGTATACTTAATAATTAAGATAAGTCACTGTATATTTTTCTTATACATACATTAGCTCTGATTTACCCATAATCTTAATATTAAACCAATTCTTTTATATTGGTTTAAGCTTTAAATTAATATGCTAGCTTTTAGTGTTCAATGTTATCCAATTGACCATTTCACGCCCCACTTTCTCTCTTTTATTTGAAAACCACAAGCTAATTAGAAAGTGGCCAAAAGAGGAATTGCTGTTAGTTGACTCTTTCATCTATCTGTTTCTATTTTATCCTTTTTTTGGCAATTTTCCACGCGAATCCGCAATAAATGTCTGGCCATGGGTAGTGTGGCGAAACCTGGATTTTAATTGCTTAAATTGTGAAATAGTTTTCAGATACTATAGTTTAAATATTCTAAAGGGGTACAGTTAATAAAAATGTGCAAATAAGTCCATTTAATTAAAATTTGAATTTATTTATAAGCTCTCCATTTAAAGTCCCATTTTTAAACACATCTTCAGCTCGCTCAAGTGGCTCACCCACTCCATAAAAAAAAAATAAACAAACAGCTCTGGCATCTCATGCAATTTGCAGCAGTCAAACGCAGGGCGGACGGTACAGTAAAGCTCCCCAAAGAAACCGCCCCAACATTGCCGTTGTGTCCACGCCAACCGAGCCGACAAAAGGACACTGGACAATGGGCTTGTGATGCGGCAATAGTGAGACAGCCGTGGTCCTGCCACCGGATCCAGAGAGTCCTGGAGCCGTGCTGGACTCTGGGTCCGGTGCTGGTCAGTCTCGCTGCAGTCACTTAATTTCCGTTTCCGCTTTTCACGCTTCATTGTCCGCCTTCTGGCTCTGCAGCACCGGTCTCTGTCTCTGGTTTAGGTTTTTGGTTTCTGCCACCATTTTTTTTTCACACCCCCTTGCTCCATTCTGTGCAATTTAAACCAAGCTCCCCAATGAAATATGCTCGCAAATTAACAAAGGCAATTAGAAGGTGCTTAAAGTGAGCAGCAGACGGGAATTGTTTAACCGAGTTGTGTCTCACTTGCCTGGCAATTGTTTTCCCCTAATTTGGCTAGGGGTTTCATCATGAGTTTGGAGATGTTTGGATATTTAGTAAAAAGACTTTAATAGAATTTAATTTTAGTTTTAATAATTAATCAAGTCAAGAGTCCTCTCATTGTTTTTAGGAGATGACACTAGTCTAAAAATATCCTATTATTCTTTGTTGCACATTTTCAACTTTCAAGCTTTTATTTATTTTTCTATTTTGTTTGCTTTTATTCGCAGCTTGGTCATTTGGCTGTCATGCAAACAATGCCGCAGTGTGGAGCACCAGGAGCATCCTTTGGGCGGCGGAGAAGGGACCAAAACTTAATTAAGTCTGATGCTGGGAGGGTGACCGAACGCCACATCGCTACTGTGTTTCGTTAAAAGGATTGCCAGTGGAAAGAAAAATTGAGTGTTCGGACGCAACAAAGTTGCACATAAAGCGGCGACTTTTCGACTTTCAGGAGTTTCAGGACACCGCTGATGTCACACGCGATGGGGCAAAGACCAAAAGTCAAACCAATCCCCCATCCATCAGGCTTGCACTCAAAATCAAATCAAACACCGACTGTAAAAATGTTATTTGTCTCGCCCAGTGTGAAACCAAAAGTCTGGCTTTGCCGACCAATCAACCGGATGTACAGATGCCCAAAGGTGGACAGAAGGATGGATGGATAGACTATATTGACTATCGACCCATAGTCACACCTCTACCTTTGAAATTCCCTACAGGAGTTCAGGAGTCATAAAAATTTCAAACTGTAAGCTGAATGACGACGTCGACGAGGATGAGGATGAGGATGAGAACGAGAAGGTAGAAATCATTCTCATCCTTGGATTCCTGCCGGGCATGCTGCTTAAAAGCTCAGCTAAGGGTCGTCTAATGGATGCGGCAACAGAGCACAGGACACCTGTCCATGCTGAAAATCCAGGCGATCCGGTAAATCCTGCAAAATTGAGCTGGATGAAATCTGTGCATTCGGTTTGATTTCCTTCTCTGCCATCTCAGTGTGTTGAAATTCTGTGTTTTTTTCATGGCTCCATTTTGGAGTTGACACAGGGAAACAGAATGTCCTGTCTAAGGATTGACCTTTTGATAGTTTGTTTTTTTTTACGTATTTTCACACACTGCAAGTGAGAGTCATGATGCCAGGAAGTAGAAGAACCTTGCAGTGAAAGAATTCCATAAAAACGGTAATTAAGATCTGAATTACATAGTTGTTCAAGGTCCTTAATTTGGTCACTTGAATCTTCCACAACTTTAAATATTGTAAACTTAATTTAACAAAAGTTAAAATGCATTTAGGGCTAGCTACTTGAAGTTGTATTTTATTCATGTATTTTAACAAAAAGAAAACAACTTTCCCCATCCATTCATGTCGAGCCTATGATGAAAATGTGCAAGGAACGAAAATGTGTAACTTTGTTGTATGTAAAAATTCATGCAACTTACAGAAATAAAAAAAACAATATAGGACACTAACGCCCACTTCAAGTGTCTGGCTCTGCTGCAAAATTGCCATAAAAACTTTGGCTGTCTCAATGGCAAAAGTCGTCAAAAGTGTCGACAACATTGTCGTTGCCTTCGTCCTTTTACTTTTTCGCACTTTTTTTTAGTACTAGCACTAAGAGAAAAATCTGTCAAAAAAATAATAAAATAAAAAAATCTTTCAATTATTCCAAAAAATATGATATGAAGCCTTTTTAATAAATAAAATATCTTAATATATAAAGAAAGTAAATAAAAAAGAAAGTTATGTATATTTTCCGTGCAGGGTAACGCTTCATAAACTGTGAGGTGTGTTAAACAGAAAATAAGGCTAAAAACCAGTGGTTTGCTTGGTACATGTCTGGGATTTGAGGTACTAAGGCTACAATTTGTCAGCAAGCTCTACCAAAAACTAAATTCTAAGGTTCGTTTGAGTGCAATTGCATCGCCACCCTTTACCCTTTCCCACTTCCGCTCAGTATGCAAATTATGCAAATTCGCCTTTCAGCCGGCGCCCCTTTCGCTTTTCACTTTCTAACTGACTGAGTGCAAGGTCAACATATTTATGCCCTTTTTAAAAGCCAAAGGCAAAGCCAGAGCCAAAGCTAAAGCCAACGCTAAACTAAAGCCTGGCTGGGCTATCGCCAGTCGAGACAGCAATTAAAATGCTTTAGAATTTAGTCCGGTGTCAGTCAGCGATTGAGTCACTTGTGAGAGTCGACTTGTTTGACAACTGCTAGATGGCAGCCAGATGGGTGGATGCCACATCAATGGGAGGCGCCACTTGTGCGAACGCGAATGGCAAGGATGAAATTCCTTTCAGAACTCTTTAAGGAACTCGAGAGTTTTGTAAGCAAAATGCATGTCGTAGAATACAGGATATACAGGAGTGTTTTGAGACTCAATAATATAATGTTAATTTAAAAATATATCTCTCACTAATTAATAACTTTTTCTAAGCACTTTCCCTTAATGAAATTCTCAAAAACTCAGTTATTTCAAAATGTAGGGTATGCCTTCAACAAACATATTCATTAAAAACTATTTTCAACTTATATTCAGCATAATTTGCAGTCTTTGTATGTGCAACGAGTGTGGGTGTTGACCTTGTTCTCCTGCCACACCATATGCTTGGCTAATTAATTATGCAACATTTTTGGGGTCATTCCGAAAGGGGGCTGTATGTATGTAGTCAGAGTGGGTGAACTAAGTAAGACCAAATGGTTAGATAGTCTGTGCTGGATTTATACTTAATTTATTACACTTAATTGAAATGCATTTCATATGAGTGGCCAACCATCTGCAGCTGCTCTATCTTTGTTGCTCATAAAGCTTATAAAGTTGTCTGCACTTTCGGTTGGATGTTTAATTATTGTGCAGACTGTTGTTTGGATGCAAAGCGAATACAATGTGAATCAGCAGCTGAAAAGATTTTGTAATTCAACCGTTTTTTTTTTATCTATCCATTGAATAATGCATGCAATCAGTAAGAATCTCTTGTTCTCAGCATTTCGGTTTCAAATATACCTTTTTGAAATTTCCATAAATTTTTTGTTGAATAAAAAACGTTGAATAAATCCTCGCCTTCATTAAAGCTTCTGTGAATCTTAATCATTAATTTCAGAAGCACCTTCAAACTTTTGGCTCCATCTTTTCCCTCTTATTTTTTTGTTCCTCATCAGCATCTATTTTTTTTTAGCTCATTGTAAATCACTTTAGCTATTCATTTAACGTTGCTTTTGCATTTTTTGCGTATAAAAAAATCATTGATTACTTTATCTTGAGTTTCAGCGAAGAAGCATCGTCTTCATCCCATTTCCGACTTGCTTTTCTGCAAGCTTCCTTCCAAATGCATTCCTTAATAAATCCTTAATCCTGTAAGACCTGGCTTCCTCTCGTGTACCTTTTCATTAATACAACTCTCGTCGTCGTTTTTAGTCTGACGGACGGCTTTTTGTGTATTTTATTCTCTCATTAAATTGGAAAATTCGATCAATCGTAAAATTCATTTACGATTCGCACGTTCAGCAGCCTGTGCCGGCCCGACAGAAGGACTGTGGTAAAATCAAATTGAAATTGTTTGAATTTAATTTTCATTGATGTGATGACGCTGTTCTTTTCACCTTTTATGACACCTTAAAGTCGCACATTTTCCCATTAAGTGTTTGCTTTTCGATTGATTATAAATTGCAGGTGCAAGTTCTTGGTATGACTAGGATTAACCCCAAAGCGAACCTCGATTAGGTTGCCACACATTAGGTCCACATTGATTTGGAGTCCTTTGATTCGTGGTCTTAACCACATACCTCTGCGCATTTCGCTACACCGCATTGTAATTTCTGCAAACAATCTCCGCCCTCAATCAATTAAATTTGCCCTGGCCCTGGACATGGTCAGTTTAATTCGGCCAAAAGCCACTCGATGACTTGCAACTGGTTTACAGCCATCGCAACTGGCACATGGCTGACAGGCGCTTAACCCCACCTGCCCTGGAGTATCCTGGGATCCCGCCCTCTAGGCCATCACTCAAAATCACAGTTGAAATCGCAAAATGCAGCAAATTAAAACAACGGCACGTAAATGGCTTAATAATTCTTTTTTTCCGCCAAGTGGCAGGACTCCTGTGGTCAGTGATGCTCACCTTTGTACCCTTTTTAAAAACTGTTTTGTAATTAAGCGGTTTAGCAGGAAATATGTAAAATGTTTGGTGTAATAATTACGATTACGTCAGATCAATAACAAATATATTAAGCTAATTTTAATATTAAATCTTAAAATTACATTAGAAAATGCTAAAAATGTCATATCTGACTGTAAGGACCCACATGAATCTTGGCCTAGACATGGAACGAGCCTGCCAGCAGGGCATAAAACTGGGTGACGCTTTACTTTTATTTATTTTCTGCGTAATTTCATAATTTATGCATAATAAAATGAGAGTTGTGGGCGCCCCTTGCTTATGGCCCCGGAAGTTGTCTAGCTCCTCACCGCCTTGCCCCGTTTGGCTGCCATCCAACTGACATTTTTCATAACCATTCTGGGGGAACTTGGGCAGAGGTTTACATTTTTCTGGCATTTTTTTCGCAGACCCCTCGTCTGTTATGGCCCCAGTTTGCTTTTTACTAATTTAACATTTCAGCGTCCAATTAACATTTTAAGCCAAAAAGCTTTGGGGAGTTTCCAGCGCGGGAAGAGAGTGTATTTATGAGTTTTTTTAGGCTACAAATATGTGGCTTATGAAATTTTTCTTTGTACCAAAGTTGGCAATAAAATTCAAAAGATAATTGATTAAAATGGAATTTCTCATGAATTTTGAACTTGTTTTAATAAAATATTGGTATAATTTTCTTGAAAGATGTTGATCTTTGATAGATCATCCATTTAAGAAGGTGAGGATATTATGGATTTAATTAATTTTTAGAATTTTAATAAGAAAATAATTACTGAGTAACACCAATACAAAATAACTCCAGAATTGGCATTTTAATTTCCAATAGCTGAGAAGTGCGTTTACCTTCTGAAATGAAAATACAAAGTGATGGAATCATCTACACTAAAGAAAAGTTTTCCTTAGTCCATGGGCCTTGAAGAACCTAATATAATAACTTCTTAAATATATAAATTCATAAGAAATCTCTTAGTTATTTAGGAGGAAAAACCAACATTATTTTGAGAACTTCATTAATTTTTTTTAGTGGGATAAACTGGGAAACACGCAGTACTAGTAAACCCTCAAAATGGCAATAAACCTTTCGGTAAAATCAAATGGTAAATGAAAAATTATGAGGGTTAAAGGAGTGTGTGTGTTTTAATGGGCCAGGCGAGGAGGGTTAACTCAACCCCAGAGAACTATTTCTACCATTTATCCCCCTATGTGGATGCATCCGATGCAGACATTTCTTATTCCGCAGGCATCGGCATGCACTTAGGATTCCCGTTTTTAATGCAAATGCATTCCAGTTGCATACGCCAAACCCATATGCAACGTGATGTGGAAATCCATTCACCGGGGTATGCACCGGGCTGTTGCATTCCATGGGATAATAGAAATTTCATTTTTATGTTATGCAATTTTTCGAAATAACTTTTCCCGAGCCAGAACCGACAACTCGCAACTGCTGCTTCTGTTTCTGTTGCTCATTAAAATATAAAAATTATGCTTTTTAATTTTGTTTGATCTCACTGGAGAAAGTTTTTTTATATTTTCTGTTGGTTGAGTGTGCAATCCTTCCCGGTTTTCGGTCGCTGTGTGTTTTGCCAACCCTTTGTCGTTTGTGTTTCGCAGTCGCCCTGGATGGCAAAAAGTTCCAGTTGCCAGCGTGTTAATTTGTGCGTAAACGTTGCACTAACGAAGCGGAAGCTTTTGCCCCTGCCACGAATAATGGAGCAACGCGGGGATAGCGGGGGCTTTTTGGCTGCAAGGATACTGAGGGTGGGATAGGGTGACTGGGATAGAGAGCGCGTAATTGAAATGGCATTTAAATGTTTCGGAGGACCTGTGTGACGGGCACCCGTCGTACATTTTCCATGTGAGGGAATGACATACAAAATTATGGCGGTTGATTAAAGGCGGCGGGGGTCGCGGGGCGAAGCCAGGACAGGAATTCCAAAGTTAAAGGTCACACGAACTTTGAAGTCATTAAAAACTATGAAGGCAAAGGCATTTTTCGGTGTCATGGAAAATATAAATTACTTTTTTTTCCAAACTTTATCTCAAAAAAGATTTAATTATAAATTTATGAAATACTTGAACCAAACACTGAGTTTTATCCAAAAATTCAAATCCAAAAATCGTTCTACTTTCTCGAATAACCTATCGAGTTTACCTTTAAATTGAATTTTCTTAATTGCCAACTCGTGTTGCTGCATTTAACCTTTGGGCTTCATCTGCAGGCATCCACCGCAAAACCAATTACAATCTAGTGGGCAAATTGTGTCGAACTTGCATCTTCAGTCTTGAGCCACGTGTGGCAAGGAGCGTGGAGCGAGCAGCCAGGCGATCCCAATTTTCCGGAGACCGCAAACTTTTCGACACTGTCCATTCAACACGACAGGGGGGTAGCCGACAGTTTGCGTGGCATCTCCAGCTTAGAGCTCCATTAGAAAGTTGCCACCGCACATATCAATTACACAAGTTTCCATTGGTCGCCAACGCCAACGCCATTGGTTGCCTTGGCTTATGGTCCTGGTCCTGGTCTTGTCCTGAAAATGCATGGAAATGCCAACCGCAACGGCAGTTATCCAACAGCTTTGGAAAGTTGGCCAGAGTCGTGACTGCATTTGGATTAAATTGAAATCATAATTTAACTGGCTAGCTAATGCAAAGTATTTAAGATTAATATTAAGAAAATATATTATATTTTTCCATGTTATTAAATTAGGTGTAACTATATTTTAAATAAGGAAAACAAGGGTACTATTTTATTATTTCCTTCTTGGAATCGTCTTATTTTTCCTGCTGCATTTTGTGGAAAAAAATAAATTCTTCTATTATTCCCCAATCCTTTGTGAAAATTTTTATTGAAATTTGTTTTTCCTTCCTCCGTGTTTTTGAATTGAATGCGTAAATATTATTATGCATTTGGCTGAAATGAAGGTAAAGTTTTTCTTTTTTACATTTATTTATTTTTGTTTCTTTATATTAAAGAGTCTTTTGGGGTGGGTAATACCCCAGCGAGTTGACCGTCTGAACAAAATAGTTGGGCAAAAAAATCATAAAAATGGGGGCTTGACCCGCAGAGACTTTTATTTGTTTACTTGCTCAGGTGCAATTCAAAGTAACTTTGAAAGCAGTTTACAAACACGCATAAATCTGACATAAATCAAAGAAAATTGTATATAAATTTATGAGCAAAGTTTTAACAGAAATATTCAAAGGTGAGAGTGGGAATAAAGAATTTTGACCTTTGAGTGGTTATTTACTTAACTAGTTTTTTTTATAGCACCACACCTAAGTCAGCCAATTAATAAGTGGCTTAGAAAAATGCCACAGATGCAAGTCTCTCATCTAAGAGTGTACCTTCGCTTGTAGAGGATTTGCCCTTTAAGGCGATGACCATTTGCACTCCGCAGTCTAGAGTCCAGAGCAGACCAGGCCAAGGACCTTAAGGCACTGGCCGGCTCTGACGACAACAGCGAAATGCATTTACAGCGTAATCCAATCACGGCAATAATGAAATGCTAAGTGCCAGCCACACCGGACAAACTGGTGGGAACGAATGGCTACGACAAGGATAAGACTGAAGGTGCTGGAGAGGAGAGAGGAAAAGGGGTGAAAGCCCATTTCAGGACTCCCAGATGGCGTAGCATTCAGTGGCCGGAAGCAGCCAGGAGGCCAGCAGACAAAGCTTCTTTTAACGCAATCTGTGCGCCAGCCGAAAATGCAACAGATCCTGCCGTGGGGTCCTCGGGCTCCTGGGTTCAAACTACAACCACTTATTCCCTTTTCACTGGGTCACGTTTCGGATTTTGCGAGGATTTTTTCCACTAAGTTTTATCCTGGTGCCGTAGTACACTGAAACCTATAGAAGATACAAGATTTTATGCAAAATTTAGAGTTTATTTAAAGCAACTAATTTAGATTAATAACAGAGTAGTGTCATTTTTTAAATTTTATTAAATCTTTCATAAAATTGTTTATAGTGCAGATGACTATGACTTTTAATAGCCCACGTTCCATGCTTGCTGGCCAACACTAGTTTGTTTCCAATCGTTTTGGCCAGCAAGCCCAGTTGTTAACGCTGATGACAATGGTCCTCCGGCTGCTGCTTCGTCCTTGTTTTCGACTTCTCCGAAAAGGGCTTTTGAAATGTTCCTGACAGTGACATCTTGGCGAGAGGATAGCTCGTCTAAAATCGATATATGAAGAAATGGAACTGCCATCAGACATCAAATGAGTTAAACTGCAACCGCAAACTGTGGCGTTTTAATTCAATTGCCCTCCAGGTGACCGCAAATATTTGACTGAAATTCCAAAGTCACAAACTAATTAACTAATTAAAGCTTACGTAGTGCTGCAATACCCACATTTTAGCCCAGAAATCAAATTCAAACTGGGAAACTTTTCTCATGAAAAGTGAAATAGTATTTCAGGGAATTCAAAGACTATCAAAGGCCTTTAGAAGTCAGGAGCAATAACGATACAGATGCCAAGGCGGAAGGTAAAATAAACCAAAACCAAACAGGGGAAATACTCACAAATTTGCACTCGAAAAGTTGCTAAGCTGTCGTTCCTTTTTTACCTTTGCTCGGCTTACGCAAATCCCCCAGCAAACAGCTCAAAGCTCAAACGGTCTTGCCATTTATTTATTTTTGCCTTTCAATGAATTGCTTTCCCCATATTTGAGTTAACATTTTCTCTCCTCACCTTTGGTGGCCAACCTGGGCCAGCTGCAGTCAAAGTCGGGGGCCAGGCAGGTAAACGTATTTGAGAATCCATACCAGGATTCCATTCGAAACAAACCAACTCTTTATGCTGGCGCGCTGAAACGCATAAATCAATGGGGAGAAAGCATTCTAGCAGCAAAGTAAGGAAGCAAGAAAGTAAAAAAAAATGCCAGCCAGTGGCAGAAAGCCAAGTTTCTAAACTTGATTTAATGCCGGTTGCAGTAAGCAGAATACAATATATTGGCAGGTTGTTCTCCGAAGTGTGCTGGCTTAAAAGCTCTTAACTCGACTTCAGTTCAATCGCATCCAAATAAATCAACAACAGAGCCGGCACAAAAATACACCCGAGGCTCACAAAGACTCTCAGAATTTCTCACTGACAAATAAGGCGGAATGCTTGTCAAGTTTTTAAAACTTTTAAATGTGAAAAGCCAAAGGGAATGTATAGAATTTATAGAAGTTTTTACCTTAATCCTTTCTGAAGTCTGTAGGAATATTACTATTAATACTCACTATTAAAATTTAAGTAGTTCTTTCTGAAATTAAATATCCCTTCCATTTTGCAATCATAATAATATATTTTATACAAACTTTGCTTTATTGACACACATCCAAGCACATTTACATAATTCAATTCACTTACTTAGCCTACATTACACAATATTCAGCTCATTCCATGAGATACTGTTTGCCAAATCAATTCAGTTTATTTATTCATTTTCATTTGGAAAATAAATATTAAGGACTGTCATTAGTATGCACCCAGTGACATTTAAATTATTCATTGTTTTCATTTCATTTGGGAAAGACAAATTATGGGGGAAATGCACTCTAACATTGTAAAAAGTGTCTGCTTTCAGGGGGCGTCCTTAGTTTTTCAATTAAAACTCAGCCTCCGATTCCGGCAGACTTCTATACTCAGTTGGATTGACTCATCTGGTTTTATCCAATGCCAGTTGCCCTCGTAAAAAGTTTTTTATTTGCCATTTTACGAGAGTTCTGGCTGACTTGGTTCTGGCTCTGCCTCTGGCTCTGGCTAAGCTGCTTATTTTATGCAATCCTGTCTTATGCGTTTTTAAATGCATAATTCAGGGTAATTACCTAATTGGTTAATTGTGATATCTGAACTGCAAAAGTAGCAATTTTCTTAAATTTATGTCAAGAAGTTTAGTGTCAAAGGTGGAGTTTTAAGTTTAAGAGTCTTAGGATTAAGCGGATTGGAGAAGCTAATTCATTGGCAGCTTAAGGGCTTAAATTAATATATAATTACATAATGGGGATTGTTTGTTTTTTAATTAAATTCTTTTAAAGATAATTCACATATTGCTAGTAAATCGTTGTGCGGTATTTTTACTTTTATTTCCCACTCTAATACTGCTTAGTCTTAGCTAAATAATAAAATTTTATTTCTTAAAATTTGGTGTATTTAATTTTGTATAAAATAGGTTACAAGTCGGTTTGCTGCACTGTCCCCGATCCTCTCCTGGCGGTCGTGCAGAAGGCCTCCTGCTGCTCACTCAAGCAAATAATCAAATTCTCCGGTGGAGCCGCTACTTTTCCATTGGAATTACAGGATTTCTGAGCTCCCGTGGAGGCGGTCTTTTCCGCCGTCGTTGTGGAGGATGTGGTGGTCGATGAGTTATTGTTGCCGGTGGCATTCAACGGCAGCAGCGGTGGCATCTGCGGATTGGTGGTCAGCAGTCTCTTGGATCCCCCGCGCCGGCGACTGCCCTGCTTTGTGAAGACACTCGGCTCCACCTGCAATTGGGCATTGATTTCCTGCTGATTCATACACGTGAACGCCTTAAAGAAGCTCTTCCGGAAATTCTCGCTAAGGAAGGCATACAATATGGGATTCACCGCCGAATTAGAGTAGACCAGAGCCCCCAGTAGCAGGAAAATGAGTATCTCCAGGCGCGACAAGTCCCTCTGGGCGGGATTCGAGTGGATGAGCGCCAACTGGGACATCCAGTGGGGCAACCAGCAGCAGATATAGACCGTTATCACGGTCAGGACCAGCCGGGTGACCTTTCGATGGGCCCGCCTCTTTTCCTTCGACTTGGTGCCGTGTTTGGGGCCCACGGACTGAAGCTTCCTTATGACTAGGTAGTAAAAACTGAGAATAAAACACAGCGGAGTGGCAAAGCCCAGGAAAAACGTGTACAGGATGAAGGTGGTGCCCGAGTGTTTTTTGTACGCATCCGGCCACATGATGTTGCAGGAGTAGTTCACCCCGTCCTCCTGCTCTACCGTGCTGGCATACAAAATCACTGGCAGCATCAGCACCGCCGATGTGGTCCAAGCCACTGCCGATACTATTTTGGCTATGTGCAGGGTACGATAGCGGGGTGAGGAGATCGGATGGCATACGGCTATATAGCGATCCGCCGACATAATCAGTAGGAATATCGAGGACGTGAAGGATGTGATGGAGGTGCTGACCATGTAGGCCTTACACATGAACTCCCCGAACCGCCAGCTGCAGATTCGCATCGTGTAGAGCAGAAAGGGAATGCCAATCAGGAAGCACTCATCTGCCACCGCCAGATTCAGGATGTAGATATTCGTAACCGTTTGCATTTTGGAAAATCTCAGCACCACATATATCACTAGTGTGTTGCCAAACAGGCCAATACAGCAGACTATTCCATAGAGAACGACTGTGAAAAGATCCGCCAAGGAGTTCCGGGTGGCTATACAGTGCTGGTAGGTTGGCAGCTCAGTGCCGTAAACAGGCTCTTCCGGTTGGATTGTTGAACCACTTCCGCTAATCCAACGATGATTTAATTCCGTGGTATACATACTCTCATTATTTGCCATCCAACTCGTGGTGTTGGCGTAGAAATCGGGGGATATATCCCCACTTACTAGCTGGACGAGACCCATCATCAGCCAGCTCAGCATGTTGGCCTCATTCGGTCACAAATCGAATTATTTTAATCAGTTTTTGGTTGGTGGTCCATAATTGTAGTCCTGCAAAATAAATTTCATAATTACACAACATTTTCATAGGTGTTTGTTTGATTTTTTAATTAAAGTAAATATTGAAATGAGTATACATATAACGTTCTACAGCTGATTGAAATGTTGGGCATTTGTGTTGAACAAATAACACAAAAATAAATAGAAAATTAAATATTTTACAAGTCCAGATTTCACATTCAGACTCTTGAAGAACTTTTCTGAAACTTTTCCATACTTTCACCCTGGAAACCAGAATCTTTCGAAAAGAACTTGTAGTACACGAATTTCTATAAAATGGCATAAATCATCTGTTTACTGTTTCGGGGGCTTTTAGCAGACCAATTCATTTGCAGAGAAAAAGTTTGTGATTTATTAAAAGTCAGTAACGCTAAATTTGATTTGTTGGGCGTAGGAAATTAACATTTAAATTGAAATTAAATTGCGCACAATTTGTCAAATCAAACAAACAACTTTGTAATGTTTAGAGAAGACCCTTGCTGGCTTCTCTAAGTATTTTGGGAAAGGCAGAATTTATGCAAATATCAGGTGAAAATATTTGTCTTATCCAAATTGAGGAAATTTTAAGAGCCAGATGACTTGATCCTATGGGCTTATACATATGTGCACCAAGGATATAGATGTTAAGGCCCCTTGTGTTGACTTTGGACAGCACATATGGGGATTAAAGCCCAAATTAAGTTTCGACATAAATGCCTTTGACTTTGTTACGCTAAATTAAAATGGATTTGCATATTAGTAAGTTAATTCCATGGCCATAAATCAAAATCAAGCTTGGACGTTTAGACAAGACTAAAGTAAACTAATCTTGCCAAAGCAATTTCTAAATTATTTCTTTATTTTGTTAGACAGTTGCTAAGTTGGACAATGATAAGTAATTGGTTTATATTTTGGAATGATCATGGTCATTTAAGCTATCTTTATATTTATTCTGAAATTGAGGGATATCCTCTTTTCCAAATTCATTTCAGAGCCTCTCGTTTTGTTGTTTGTTTGCTCAAGGAATTAAATCCCAACCCAATGACAGGTGTAAATCCCCTCGGCAATCTCGACCCTGTGTCACCATCGTTGACTCCTGAATTGTTGTTCGACATTTATTTTTCCTGTTGCTGTTTGGCTGGCTCGTTGCCGGCTTCCCCACTTGCACTCGGCATTTATATTGTTGCCGTAAGTGCAACTGTTATCGGTAAACCGCAATGGAGGCACAAATTGCTAGGTTGCATGGGTTGCAGTGGGTTTAACAGAAAAAGAAAGTAAAAAGAAATGTTTTTTATGTGTTGCAGTTGTATATCTGCAGTTTAGTGGATGTCAGGCACCAGACTGTTGAGACTACTTCTAAGAAAGCTGCTGACTAAGTTGTGCTTGGATGTGGAAGGATAGACTACAAAAAAAGTTTATATTTTATGTATTTGTTAAATCCGATTTTTTCGAACATTTGACAGAAAATATCATAAAAGTCTTGTTGATATGCATATTTATTTTAAATAGTATAATTAAGGTATCTGAAATATTTCTAACCATTTTCCACAGTGTAACAACTGCAAGTGTTGATATCCTGGGAGCATAAAAAAACCCAAAGGATGGTGACGGGGTATCCTCTGCTCATCGTTCCCTTGACCACATTTTGTCAGCTCTCCCCCTCCCACACTTTGACACTATCTCTTTCTGTTAGAGTGTGTGTGTGTGGGATTTATTAAAAATTTATGCATTTTATGAGACCCCCAAGACAAGGGTCTCCAGTGCATTTTCCCGAGGAGCTTATTTTGATGGACTCGTGATGATGTGACGAAAGGCCATAAAAATCTGCATTTTAAGCTTAGAGGGCTTATTCGGGCACTAAAGTACACGAGCTTGAAACAAATATATATATTGTATGGAAGCAAAATGAAAGCTCTCATTTTCCAATATTCATCATAATTGTTAGCACTTAATTATTGGCATTTTCCACTTTCGAACATACATACGCTTAATTAATTAAAACTTTATCAAAAGTTAGCCCAAACCACAATTGTTTGGGAATTTGGGGAATTGCTGATGCTTTAGTAGATGTGTGGGCGAATATGTGTTTGGATTATGTTACCAGAAACACAGTTACTATGGCACACAGAGAGTCAAACAAGACGCGACCAAATATATGGCTCAAAGGGAGAGAAGAAGCCGTCTGGCAGGCAACAGCTTGGCAAATGTTTAGCCGCTCGCTTTGGTTTCAAGCAGCCACAACAAAAACAAGCCCGACGCAAGTAATTCATGGACGGGGGATCGAGAAAGTGAGAAGGGTGAAAGGGCTGGGAAATGGACGACCCGGAGGCATGCGAAGAGCATAATTTTTGGGATAAACACCAAGTACAACATGCATACAAGGGGGTTCTAAAAACATGCAGAGTAAAAACTTCTCATATCTGAAGTATACAACGTTGCGTATGAGTAATATTTATATGGGGAATATTACTTATACGCCACGTTGACTCATAATTGAAGGAAATTTAGTTTTATTTGTTGGTGAACCTCAGGTTTATTTCTTAACTATAGTTTTTCTTGAGTGTAAGGATACTAGCCCGCATGTATGTAGGTATCTTGATACATATATGTACGAAAATATGACTGGCAAATTTGCATGTATACACATAACAAACAAAACCCACGCACACACACCCGCACTCAGTCACACACAGAGCCTGATGTCAAGTGCACTTGGTGTGGTGGGCAGAGGTCCTTGTTTCGGGTTTGAGAGTGGGCTTGGGTTTGGTTGGCTTGCGATGGGTGCTTTAGTTTATGGCTCGGGTTGCCGACCGAGCACACATAAAGTGCAACATAAACTAAACTCACTCACCTCACCAGCCACTAACTCTTTTACTCCCTCCCTGTCTCTATCTCTTTCTAAAAGCCATCACCCATCTCACTTACACTCTAACTCGGTCTTTTTTTTGGTGGCGATGCACTTAATCTTTGGGACACAATATTGGCTTTTGGCCACAGGTTGCCACTCACCTGACCTTTGTTGCAAAATGAAAACACTAAAACATGTGTTGCATAACCAAAAACACACACACACAACAACAACAATGAACTAACTAACAAACAACAACAAAACAAACACCCGGAAACGGCAACAAAAACAAGTGCAATTATAATCCCGGCGGCTTTGTGCATTCGGCTTTTGTTGTTTTTTGTGTCGGTTTGAGTAGCACCCACTAGAAGGTAAACAAAATGTGGCATAATCGCCCTTTGTTGAATTTTTTAAAATAATGGAGCTAAATGGGAATTTCTAAGCATACGGCTTAATCCCAAAAATGGCTAAAAGAATTCTAGATTCATACATCCTAGGTTCTAATTAACAGGGAGATCCTTTCATAGTCAGTAGAGTTTTTAGTGGTAACTTTCAGTGTATTCCAAGCCCCTTGCTTCCTGTTCTGTTTATCCATTGACAATTTACTGATTCTCCATTTGCGGTCAGTTGCCTTTCGAGTACGGCTATATATCCCGCATCCTGGCACCTGCCTCCTGAATCCTGCATCCAAGAACCACCTGAGTGCGGTCGAATGTTGCTCACACTTTGGTCTCAATTATGCCAGGTGTTCATTGTTAACCCATAATGCCTGGCACCCCGTGTCCTTCGATTCCTCTGCGGTTAACCCTCCTGTTACTCTGCTGGGTTTCGTTTTTATTTACGGAGGCCGAGGGCCGAGGTCCTCTTGGATTCTTCATTTGCTCCATTCCCTTCATTTGTCAGAGGAGGACTGGATGGCTTTTGGCACACATATTTGCACCTCTTATAGAGACGGTACTGGGCTAAAATAGAGGAGAAAAATTGAGAGTGGGGCCTCCCAGCTTGTGTTGCCTTTGATGTGGTCCCCTGTTGTTGTTATACACTGCTCCTGTTCCGGGCTGCCTTCGGTTTTTGTGGTCTCAACTGCAGGCGGCTTGCCAAAAACTGAAATCTGCCATCGGTTTTCCACTCTGTTTCCTACACCGATTCCCCTTACCCTCCATTACAGCCCGATCCCATGTAGCTTTGTTCATTGTTCCGCCACACCCTCGGTTCTATAGATGTTTCCGATTTCGTTCTTTTTGCCCCAGAACCCCCCGGATTCTTTTTTCCTCTTTGGATTCAGTAGAGCTTTGAAAAATGTTTGTCAATTGCATGCTAAACGTTTTTACTGATTTGTCACAGGATATGGAAGGAGAGTTGGACGGAAAGGGTGTTGCGAAAATCCCTGAATGTTGTGAAAATATTTACCGGATGTCAAGCAATCTGTTAACAACTTGAAGATATTCTATTCGAACATTTCCCTTTACGGGGCTTGGATTTGGAACAAAATTTAAAAATAAATGCAAACTAAAATTCTTTTAAAATATTTCTAAAATAAAATTTGGTTAGTAGAGGCCAGTTTTTCTAAAGTGTAAGCCATAAGCTCCACTCATGGTCTTAAAACCCTCTGCCGAAAATTGTATAAAATTTAATTCGGTTTCCTTCCCTTTTCCATTTCCATGGACACTCGGTTCTTAAGCGGTTTAGGCTTAAGTCTTCTTAATTTCCCCGAAATGTGAGCAAAAATGTGAGTCATATAAGATATAAGATATGGCGGCTTGAAGCCCAAAATACTTTATCAAATATGGATTGCCATGACATTAGCGAGTAACCCCATTCCTTAATCTCATATATGTATGAGAGACACAAACAAACAATTTAGTTAAAGTTCAGACCTCATTGAAAGGCTTTAGACGCTTAACACTCGCACAGCCTCCCAAAATGCAATTTATGTGTTAATCCCCCCCTCGACCCTTCTCTAATTTGCATAAATTAGCACCAAAATATGGTACCATCCCGGATTCGATGTGTTTATTGTTCGCTGGTAGCTGCACTCATTACCGATGTGCTCTTGTGTGGATGCTTCGATAGTTCCGATGGTAAATTTAACATAATTTTGAAGAGACCATTGACAATAATTGAGCTGTAGTTCCAGGGCACCAGGGGTGCAACCGAGTAGAGGGCGTTGGCTGTGGGTGAACGTACGGATTATGTTGCATATGTTGCAGACCAACAAAATCTATGCCACGCAACCAGGCACGAAGGATTCACACTAATTGGGTGGCAATCGAAAATCCTTTGTTGTCTCTGCGGTAACGCCTTTATGGGAACTGTGTTGTTGAAAATATGAAACTCTTTCGGTTTTATAAAATTTTGGGTTTAGCTTTGGATACTGAGCAGCAGAACCTGTTTTAGGCTTTAGATATTGTAGCACTTTTAAGAAAAAATAGCTCATCAAACAAAAGTAGAGGTTAAGAAATGGCGCGTGTTATTAGAATAAATATTTATCGGTAATTAAAAACAATGGAAAGTTTTTATGATTTGTTTGGCAAATAGAGTACAGAGTCAGTATAAATATTGGCTTTAAGAAATAAGAAACAGATCCGCACAAATAGAATCTAGGTAAGTAAACTGAAGTGACAGATTCTTCTATAAATACGTTAACAAAGATATTGTTAGACATTATCTGCAAGAGTGATTCAACTGAAAATGTCATTCAAAGGAGTTCTGGTGGTTTGCTTCCTGGCCTTGATAGTGGGCGTACTATCAGCTTCTGATCCTTCGCCATCGCCGAGCCCTACACCTGATCCTTCACCATCGCCGAGTCCATCTCCTGATCCTTCGCCGTCACCGTCACCCTCGCCCAGTCCTAGTGCGACTCCTTCTAAATCTGATCCTTCGCCATCCCCCAGTGAAAGTCCAAGTCCTTCTAAATCACCCAGCGCGACTCCTGATTCTTCGCCATCACCAACCACTTCACCAACCACTTCAGATCCTTCGCCAGCGAAATCCTCATCTCCTTCTGCATCATCGTCCTCTTCTTCGACGACCTCTGCAACGCCGTCCTCAAGTTCAAGCTCGAATTCCTCCAAAAGGAAACACCGTCACCGCAGGAATGGAAGAGTGCATGGTGGGCGCAAGGTTCACAGAATCCGAAAAAACCGGAAAGGTCGCAGAAACGGAGAACGTCGCCGATCCAGAGAGGGTCGTAGATCTCGAAATGGAGAAACACGTTCCCGAAGATTTTAAAAATGTTTGTAATGTCCCATAATTTGAAATAAAGAACATCCTATACACATTAAGAGCATTAAAGGTTGAGTGTTTTTTTTTTTAAATAGGATAAAAAGAAAAAAGAATAAACGACTCAAAATAAAAACAAATTTAGAAACAATTTTTCTTGGAACAGTTTATTTTATGGTCTTATCTACATAGTATATTATTTTGTAAATATTTCTTTCTATAATTAAAAACTGTTATATGTGAAGTCATTTTTATTAAACCCCAAAATACAACCACATTAAATTTGCATAATTATGTTGAAAGTTTTTGGAAAAAATCCTAGCCGATTTATGTGGGACTTTTGAAAAAAAAGAAATTGACGCTTAAAAGTAGGCATCCTAAAATATACTAAATTATTTCTATAAGGAATATCTATTTATCCCTTTTATTCTTATAGAGAAAATTAAATAGTTTAATGTTTATTGTGTAGTTTCTTTTTAATTGAATTAAACAACAATATTTAAAACAATAAAAAATCGTTTATTTTAAACAATAGAAAATCGTATTCCTAAAAAATACATTAAATATATGTAACAATCGTTAGTTTCAATAGAAATAAGACAAGAATTAAATTCTTGAACAATAATTTTTAACTTTTAAGCCCGATTTAATAACTTATAAGATTTCAAAGAATTGTGTTCTCAGCTTGGAAGTAGAGAGTCTCTACTAGAGACAATGAAATCTAAACCACATCGAAACAGATAATTAAACAAAAGCCTCTATAGTTCAACAAAATCATGTGTTAGTTTATGTACATACAGACACAATAGGCCAAAATAACGATAGGAAAGTTTCTACAATGTGTTATACATTTTTGATGGCAAATATTAAAGTTATTGAAAGCATCTGGCTATATTTGCAAAAGTGTGTAGGTATATTTGCAGTAGGAATCTACAAAAACAATAGGAAGTGTAGGTAAACATAAGTTCCAGTGGGGATTTTTCTGGTCTTCTGTATAAAAAGGCGTAGCGAATGCAGAAGATTCACAGTTCTCTAAAGTGAGTTAGCCAAAAAGATGCCTTCCAAGTTGTGCCTAGCTTTGTGCCTTATGGCCCTGATCGTGGGTGTGCCCGCCGTTGATCCAACAACTGATCCAGCTTCTCCATCAACGCCAAGTGATCCAGCATCTCCGGCTTCTCCAACGTCGCCATCCGATCCGGCTTCTCCAACTTCGCCAACCACACCAACTTCTCCAACTACTCCTACATCTCCAACTACTCCAACTTCTCCAACTACTCCTACATCTCCAACTACTCCAACTGAACCGTCTTCTCCAACTCCGGCTTCACCAACACCAGCAACTCCCAGCACTCCATCCCCTGAACAACAAAGAATCGCGAACCTCCGGCGCCGCTTGAGGCGCGCCCGCAGGCAGGAACGCCAGCTGCGCAGGAGGCTGAACAACCAAAATCGTTTCGGGAACAGGAACCGTGGAGGTCGCAGGGTCGTTGTCCGCCGATTCAACAATAACTAATTTGTAACCACCCAGAGAATGAACTTAAAATAAATGCATATAGAAAACAACAAGTTTTAAACCGATGGTATATCATTTTTAAAATTATAAAAAATGGGATTTTTGGTTGTTACAGATAGAAATGGCATCAATTTTTATATCCTTGCTATGCTGTGAATATTGCTATGATTTGTCGGTTGCGATTCTTAATTCTGAAGGATCTTAGTTTTGTGCATTGACTCTGAGAACAGCATGAAATCGGAGGGGCCGGAACGGTGGACTATAGCATCAAAGATTACATTAGATATACATAAAAGATTATAACTTTAAGTTCGAAAATTGAAAATCTTTGTTTTTGTAAAAGAAAAAATACATGGTAGATTTGCTACGAGACTTCTAATACATATGTCATATTATATTATATTGCTATTACTTGAACTTAATTTAAACTATTATTTTGAGGAATTTAAAATAATCTTAACGGAAGATCATGTGGGGTGGTATCTCTTCAATATTTTTATCCTGGGTCTTCGTATTAGTTCTTTTTAGGGTGTTGAGTGTTGAACCATAGTGTTGAGGTGAGACCCAAGGGGTTGGCCTGGGTTCGGAAAACATCGACTAAAGTAGTCCCGGTGTCCCTCGTCGTCATGTACCAGGGGTCATTACAAATTCTTCTCTTGACCTAACTTTGGGCCACTCTTATTTTGTTTAGGTTTGTTTTCGCCGTAACTCCAAAGTCTTTCAAAGCATACGGGACCCAAAATTAATTTATATATACGCACTTTGTTACCAAAGGATTATGTAGGTATTTCTAGGCGAATAAAGCCAGGAAATCTTTGCTGCCTTCGAAACAACAGTTTGCTTTACCATGTACCAATTTGTATGCCTTTTAAAGGTAAGACCGCTGCCAATGGTCACTTCAAGGTACATATTTGTAGAAGGTTGGCCATTTTATTTAATCTATTGTAGGAAGTGGGCGATCGTACTGCCTCAACATCATTTTACCTCAACTTTGTATTCCCTGGAATTTTTATTTTTTCTTGTTTGGTTTTCAATAAAAAATGTCCAAAAAGTAAAAAAAGTTATTTGTACGGTAGCTATGTATTTGAATTTTATTCTGTAGAGTTTCGCAAACTAAAATTCATTTAAAAAATAGGATTCCATACTTATATGGGACTTCCGGTGAATGCTAACTTAAGCTTAAAAGTAGACAGCAGACATTATAAAAAACAAGACAGCAGACATTAGATTTCAACGAAATGTGTTGTCAGCTTAGAATCGGCGAACTAAAGTGTAAACAATAATAAAACAGATAATTAAACACAGGCCTTTGTGGTTGAAAAAAAATCGTCTGTTAGTTTATGTAAATACCGACACAATATGCCAAAAACAGGTGATATTTTAATTCTATTGTGTTTAAAGGAAATTTTCTACACTACGCTATAAATATTAGATGGCAAATATTAATGTAATTGGCTGAAAGTACAATCGTGTCTAAGTTTATTTGCAATAGGAATCTAAAAACACAAAACGAAGTCTATGTAAACATAAATTCAACTGGGGATTTTTGTGGGTTATTGTGGTCTTTTGTATAAAAGGCGTAAATTAAAGCAGAAGATTCACAGTTATCGAAAGTGTAGTTAGCACTAAAGATGCCTTCCAAGTTCTGCCTAGCTTTGTGCCTAATGGCCCTGATCGTGGGTGTGCCAGCCCCTTCACCACCGGCTTCGCCACCAGCTTCGCCATCGGCTTCACCACCGGCTTCACCATCGGGTTCTCCAACAACTCCACCAGCCTCGCCGTCCTCGCCAACTACACCTCCGGCTTCTCCAACAACTCCACCAGCATCGCCGGCCTCGCCGACATCTCCAACGTCTCCAACCTCCCCAACTACTCCAACTTCACCGTCTTCTCCAACTCCGTCTTCACCAACTCCATCCTCTTCAACCTCTACTGAAGAAGAAGAAATCGAGCGGCTCCGGCGCCGCTTGAGGCGTGAGCGCTGGGAGGACCGCCAGCTACGCAGGAGGCTTAACAGGGGCGGACAACGCAGGGGCCGTTTCGGACGGGGGCGGTTCGGAAACAGAAATCGCGGAGGTCGCAGAGGTCGCGGAGGTCGCGGAGGTCGCAGGGTTGTTGTCCGTAGATTTTACAATTACTAATTTCACAACTAATTTCATGAAATAAATACCAAAAAGTTAAAGCACAACAAATACAATCTTTAAAATGGGAATAACAAGGATTTTGGTTTCTATGAGTGCCGTAACCATAATGTTGGCATATATTTATATATCCTTGTAACCTTAAAAAGACTATAAATATGGTTCCTGATTTGGATCCCTCAGTTTTAAAGCTTTATTCCAACTCCGTCTTCACCAACTAATAACTGCCTACAGTTAGGATAACCGGGATCGGTCTCCTGAAGGTATGGATCTCATATAACGATCGGAAATTTAATATTTTTCTATGTAGAAAGTTGTAACTAGTGGTAACTTATTTTTTGGATAGTTTTGGGATCCCAGGAGGCTCCCATTTAACTGAGGCGTTTTAGCTTTATTGATATATTTATATTCTTTCCGTACTTAGTTTTGTCTTAACTTTATATTTGAATTCAAATTTAACATTTTAAATAAATACAAAATAATATAAAATTTTGCAAAAAAAAAAGCATTGCCATCTTATATGGGACTTCCGGTTAAGGTTTTAGTTAGGCTTAGTTAAGGTTAAGGACTAAAATTAGGTGACAGAAAATATTAAAAATTAAACAAAATACATATTTATATACTATAGCTATTTTTATAGTGTTATATTTTGTTATCGTTTATTTTGTTATAACAAATATATTAAATATCTGTAATTTCTATATAGTATTATAGACATAGACATGGTAGACATATTACTACCTAAAAGTGTTATTACTGGTACTACCTCGTGTAGTACCAATCGTAAAGGCACGTGAAATAAATAATATCAATTCAATTTTCTATTTTTGTTTATATTTAAAGCATTGTTTTGTCAGCTTGAAATAGGAGACGCTGAAATGCAAACAATATGAAAACAGATATTTAAACAGAAGCCATTGTGGGTCTGCAGTGTTAGGTTATTTAAACATGGACATAATAGCATTGAAACTGGTGATATTCTTATTCTATTGTATACTTTTCTAAAAACTGTTGTTAATTTTAGATTCAAAAATTAAAAACATTAAGATGTACATATGTGGATAGACATGCTGGAAGTATGTGTGCATATTTGGATGAGGAATCTAAACACACAACTGGGGATCTAGGTAAACATACTCGATTGTTAAATTTTGTATAAAAAGGCGAAATTGGAGCAGAAGATTCACAGTTATCCAAAGTGTAGTTATCACTGAAGATGCGCTCCAAGTTGTGCCTAGCTTTGTGCCTTATGGCCCTGATCGTGGGTGTGCCCGCCCCCTCGCCACCTGCTTCCACTTCTCCATCGGATCCAGCTACTCCAGCATCTCCGGCTTCTCCAACAACTCCGCCTGCTTCAACATCGCCAACCGATCCAGCTTCTCCAGCCACACCAGCATCGCCGACGACTCCAACTTCACCAAGCACTCCACCAGCAACCCCAGGGTCCCCTACCTCACCGTCTTCTTCAACCCCTCCGGCTGACGCCGCACCTGCCCCTCAGGCAGCTGCTTCAGGCGCTCAGACTCCCACGAGCTCCGGCTCAGGCAGTGGGGGCAGTGGAGGCAGTCGAGGCAGTGCCAGGCGTCGCCGCCAGAGAAGAGAACGCAGGCAAGAACGCCGCAGGCAAGAGCGCCGCAGGGAACGGCGCCAGAGAAACAGGAATAGGAACAGCAATAGAAACAGCAACAGGAACCGCGGAAGTGGCAACAGGAATCGCAGGGGCTGAGGTCGCAGGGGCGCTGTCCACAGTTAGTTTCCAACAACTAATTACGAAGCACCCACAAAATGCATTGAAAAATATATCAATAAAAAAAGGAATAATTGAAACATAAGAAGTATAAGTTTTAATATCTTATTGGTAAACAGAGTTCTTTTGTATATCTGGTAACTATATGTATTTTTTCAACTTCAAGGTTGACATTTGTCAGCTACTAATCATAGCAATCAGTCTATGATTGCCCTTCCATTGAATATTCCAACTGAATTCCTACTTTCTCGAGTATTTGCTTTTCACTTGAATGCCCAGTCGAGATCCTTGACTTCAATCGAACTTCTTCTCTTACTTAATCACACAAACTGGTGTTGTCATCATCAGCAAATGCCATTACCTAGGTAAATAATATCAAAGGAGGAGAAAATTCGTAAAAGGCAGCAGAATCGAAAAGGATTTCTTGAAGCCATTTCCACTTTTGATGTGTCCGACGTGTTGACGGCCAAGCGAGTAGCTTGGCGAGTGATAAAAATAAATAAATAAAACGCCGTCTAAAGAAAATGGGGAAAATCAGCTTGAATGGAAAAACAAATCAAGCAAATGGCAAAAAGGCCAATGGTCAATTGCCTTTTGAGTTGTTCGACTTCTAGTCCAGATACTGAAATGCAATTAGCAACTTGAATAGCCAATTAATTGTAGTTTTCCTTATTGTTTGCCACTGAGGTTATTTATATTTTGTTTTTAGCTAGCCTGGCATTTTTTCATCGACAATTCCAATAATCCGGATCAATAATTTCATTATTTATTTATTCAATTTGTCGGTAGACGAAAGTCGCTAAAATGGCAACAGAATAAATGGATAAAAGCTGGGATTTGAAGAATATTTTTGGGAAGGTTTTTATAGAACATAGATATTTTGTTGAGCATCTATTTTTGATACAGTTTGAATTAGTAGACTGTTTGCATCGGAGAGTATCTGACAATCGACTAGTCAGTCAAGGTGGATCCCCTTTTTCAGGTTGTTTACAAAATTTGCCAATTCTGCATTTTAGTGCGTCTTTTTCAGACTTCTGGCTATTTGGATGCCACTTCTCCTTTTGGTTGTTCTCTTGTTTGCTCGAAATTCTTTCTGCCTTTTGCTCATTGAAGTGTTTTCAATGTTTTTTTGTAGCCATGGCCAACAGAATTGCCGCTGCCGTTGTTGATTCACCATTTTATGAGTTCAATTAACCAGAAGCCATGAAAATAATAAAAATGATGAACTTTTACCCAATTGAATTGATTGCTTTATAACCGTTTTTGGTATAGAGGGCAAGGATGGGGCACAATTTTACAGTCAGCAGCTGTTGGCCATATAATCAGCCATATATATACATAAATATTGTATGGTATCTATCTATCTGGTAGGCAGTCGGTTGACTCCCTAATTAACACTAAATCATGCTCTTTATTAATTATATTCCCGATTATGCTAGCTACAACGTCACTGAACTTTCCATCATATCAGCTTTGCGTGGAAATCCAATCAATAATGGCCGATATTGATAGAAGAATGGAGCTAGTATATCTGTTTGTATAGACGGTTGTTGTCAATAAAGCAATCATTCATTTCGTCATTGCCATCGACGCCACTAATTGAATGGCCAAATCGAATTGGAGGATATCGATCTTTTTTGACTTAAACTCACGCCAATTGATAACTCAAATGAAGTGAAAAATTTATTAAATTTGTCAATGAATAGTTTTCACAATCACAGTGCAGTTTATGGAATCATATTTTCATTTATTAACTTGCTTTTTTTTTTGTTAGTTATACACCACAAAGGATGCTTAAGGCTATTCAAATAATAATTTAAAATTCTAAAAAATAGTGAACTTTTTTCATTGCATTTTCCTTTTTGTTTTTTATATTCCCAGCAGATTAATAAACAAGTTCCCTAGGACAACATTGTTATATGACCCTGCATTTTGATAAGTTTCTGCCCCAGCTGCGACATTGAGTGAGCCCCCAGACTAATCATTTCTCTATATAGTATATACACTTGCCCATCATTATCTGCCACAAGCCATTGTTGCTGTTGCCTGGGGTGTGACTAACAATTTTGTTTTAGCCTTAGTTTGTTGCCGCTGGTGGCATTGTTATCGCTGCTGCTCTTTTGTCGTCATTAACGTCAGAGCGGCCTTGTTTAATTTGAACATTAATCATGGTTGTGGCTCCTGGTAGGGGGCCGAAAACCCGAAGCCCACAAAGGCACACAATGGGTAAGAATGGCCTGCAATATTGCACCTGGCAAAAGTTGCAACTCTAATGAAGACGGGCAGGTTCTCGTGATATTAGTTTTCCATCCAGTCTTGAGTTGCACATGCGCACAAAAAAATGGTAAGGAATGCCTGTAGGAAAGCTTGGCATTTACTATTTTTTATGGCCAGAAAGAAAACCTTAATAATGGCTCATGTACCAACTGAGTCTTTTTATTTAAAATACCAAACTTGAATAAGTACTTGATGATGAAGTTCCCTCTATTTAGATTCATCTTTGGAATTTGGATCTGGACTTGGGCTGTCGGAAACTCGGGTCAAGTCCACATTGTACAGCCGGAACTCGACATTCCGTCGTCGGACGTTCAAAGTGACCACGATGCAGTAGAGAAGCACCTGGAGCTCGGTGGCTCTCAGGGCGTAGGAGGCACCCATATTAACGGGGAAAAGGGAAGAGTCCCACGCGGAGCAATCGTACAGGAAGTAACCTCCATCGCGGCTCGAGCTGTGACCGAAGGCAAGGTGCTGCTCCTGGCACTCCAGGACGCCCCACTGGTATCTGGTAAAGAAATAGTTGAGGCCCTCGAGCAGTCCCATAACTGTGCTGGCCGGGTCACTGTACACCTGCCCGAAGGCCACCAGCTCCATCTGAACAAAGAATCGCAGGTCCTGGAACTCGCACTGAACACACATGTCACCCACGCCGAGGTGGTACGGTACGCTGGTGCGGTAGTAGCGGTCCCCGTTGAGCACGATCCCGTCGAGCAGCTTTGGGCTCCACATCCTCAGGCTGCGGAAGGTGCTAGCCGCACAGCAGGCGACCACACAGACTGCTAGGGTCTGACGGCCACGCACCGTGCTGTCGAACCAGGGTGCACATGGATGCAGCCCGCCCCAAAGCGACCACAGCCGCCCCGCCACCTCCACATCGTAGTTCCTCCATCGAGCGGCTTCGCTGTGCCGCTGGCATCCCTCCATGTTGCAGCTCAGCCTCCGGCTCCAGATCGGCAGGCTGTTGCGCGGCACCAGCCATGTCAACGACTCGCTTCGCGCCGGCAGGGGAGCTGTCTGCCTGAGGTGCTTTAAGATACCGCCGGTACTGTTTGGTTTCTCGGGGAGCTGGCTGGACATGCTCCTTAACCGGGAGGAGGTAGAATTTGGGCGGTGCCACGGTTCCGGAAAGCAAATCGAAATTACTGGTGTGTATTGGTTGCTCCTCCGGAACCACTACGTCGCACACAAAGTTGTTGAATTGCTTGCGCCACATGTCCGGCGACAACTGCACTGACTTGGAACGATACATGAAGGAATGGCTTTGATAGTCCTCGGCCGAGGACTGACCATCTTGTGAAGAGACTGTTAATTTTTGGCAGCCTGGGGATAGTACACCTTTCCCCCGGCCAGAGAATTTGTCTTTAAAACCTGAGCCTGCTTTCATTTCAATTTTAAATAAAAAACTTACTTAAAATTTAAAAAAATAAAAAAATGAGTTTCGTTAGCTTTTCTTTTGGTTTCCCCCCATCTGAGCCCCTTTTAGCTTTTATGACGCCTACTTAGCTCATCGACAGCTTCGCTTTTCTAATTTTCTGGGCTCACGTAGGTGTTCTTCCCATTTCCAGCTGCCCTCCCACTTACACATCCAATAATCAGCCAACTGCTGGCTCACATTAATTGACAGTTTCGCCATCATCCGTTGGCCCTGACGGAGGAAGCTCCGGCCAAGTCCTCATTAACTCATCTATCATGATGTGGATGTTTAGTCAGGGTCTCCGGGTCCCTTTGCCCTCGCTCATTAATTCCCTTTATGTAGGCCAATGAGAGTGGGTGGAACATCGCAGTTGGATATGATATTTGAACCACGCCCTTTCTCCACATTGAATGCATTTCAATTTCCCTCAACGTCTGCGAAAAAAAAAAATAATACTAATTGCAGTACTACGATGGAACGCAGAACCCATCTTATCTCTCTGCGTCGGCTTAGGTTCAGTTTTATTATTTGAAATTTTTTTTCATGGGTTAAGTTGTACGTGTACCCCTCTCGATTCCCTTCCCTATCAGTTTAGGGGTCTTGTCCGTAATTAATTGCAAAAGTTTTCTTCGTTTTCTGTCCTCTGATGCTGCACAAAAAGTTGAAAGTTGATGGTGTTGGCGGTGGTGATGGTGCAGGAAACTCGGTTAACTCCTCTCCATCCGCGAGTGATGACTAGTTTAAAAAGTGAATTGTCAATTATGATGAATAATTATTGGGAATTTGCTAATTAGCTGAAGGAAACTTTAGCCAGTGTAGTATGGCTTATGGATGAAAACACTGATTCAAGCCATTTAATTAATTATTAGAGAACTGTTATTGAAAAGTTTTAGCAAAAAACTTAAAAAAAAAAAAAAAAAACTCGTATTATTTTTCAAGGAATATTAAAGAAACCCTAGGACCTACGTTAAAGAGCCACCAACAGCTACCCTTTGCAGTCTGGATAATTTTCGATAAATTCTTGTGCATCTTTGGCCATCAATTACCGGAGAGGATCCAAGCGGAGCAGCATCAGCATCTCTGGCACTTGTTCCGCCATTTGAATCCCGGGCTCATTCCTTTCCCGGGATATCCAGCTCGTGTCCGTGTGGTTGCTGTTGTTGTCTAACTTGGTCCTTTGAGTCAAGAGGAAATGCTATCATTTGGCTGCTTACGTCGTTGTTTTTGGTTTTGTTTCTGTCTGTTTGCTTGACGCCGACGAAAGGTTAAGGCATGCATCGCTTCCATCAAATTAGACGCATTTTCAACGCGCTTTGTCTGTCTGCCCCTTTCTCCCCAGCGTTTCTGTCTCCTGTCTTCTTACAGCACATCCTGTTGCCATTCCAGCTCTATTTGTGCCACCCCCTTCCTATTCCTTTGGCAATTTTCGAGCTGACGCCGCTTTGCCTTTACGTTTTATCACTTCATTTGCACTGAAATGTCAATGTCTGAGGCTGTCGTCTCTTTCTTTTCCTGCGACTCTATCCCTTTCAGTCTGACGTGTTCCCATTTTCACTTTTTCTTTTTGGAAAATTTCGCCATTTACAATTCCTATCCGAAAAGCAGTTTCTATAAATGCCGCCATTTCTTCTTTTCCAAAAAAAGTCACAAAATTGAAAACCATCTTCTAGATAAAATCTCAAGAGCTAGTCCTAAGAGGCCTTTTATGAAATGCTAATTTTTAAGAAATGACAAAAAAATTAAATTTATTGAATATCTGAAAAGTTAGGGTAATTTGGAGTTCGTCTGACCATCTCTTAACCATTTCCAAACAGAGCAAAAGGCAGGAAGGAAGCAGTTTTGTTGCAATGATGTGGGCGGAATTTTTTCGGTGCGAAAGGGCGGGGCAAGAGCTGGGGAAAATGGGGATACTGTCCTGGCACTAAAAGAAATCTGTCTGACAAATTACACGACCTGCACTGCGAAGTCGCAGCAGCAGCTGCTGAAATGCTTCAGATACGCCTCCCCAATGGCTTGGTTTATAGTACCCAGTACTTTAAGAATGATGGGTAATATTAAAAAAATAAGTTAAACTGTATAATTAATTAATAAATGTAAAAAATATAAGTAAAAATACTTTTTATATAAAAATTATTATATTTTATTTTAGAAAAAGTATTTATTAATCGTTTATATTCATTATCCTTTTATTCTTTTAGTCTCTTTATATTGTATTTTTGTGCTGCTTCATGTTCTACATTCGGACTCAAGCCATCAAACCGATTGAATGCAGGAAGGGGCGAGCGCACGTCATTCATTCAGTTAGTCAGCGAGTGCAACGGCCTTTTGATTGGGTTTCAGTGTAACCCATGGAAGGTGGAGGTGGTTCCGTCTTTCCCGGTTCTGGCTTTTTGTTAGTCTGGTTTGGTTAGATGGTTACGGTTTTACTGGACTTTACTTAGCTGGATGAGCTCATTCCTGGGTTTATCTCTTTTTGGCGTGGATTTCATCATCAAGAAAGGTTAACCTTTAAGGGTCAGGTGTTTTATAGAGTGCCTGCTACATATTACCTTAGGAAACCATTCCAAGCAATCTCTAGCATATGCCGCATATATTTTCTTTGAAATAACTCCTTCACCAAACCCATTAATCTGCATTTCTCAATTTACATTTTTGAATTTCATTCTCACTCCAACATTTCTCCATATTACTTTTCTTGGCATTCCATCACAGCTTGCCCTAATTTGTCAAATTTCGTTTCGTCTTTCGGCGAATCCTTTCTGGGGTTTTTCTCTGCCTGGCTGTGATGGTCAGTCGTTCTCAGTTTCCACATCATCAGACAAACCAATTCCTCATTCCGTCCCCACAACCCATCTCGGCTCTTAGAGTCGCCACCGCCTGACACTCGCAACACAGAGCATTCAACAGATACAAATGGCTATTCGGAAAAAATTTCAGTTATCTGATAAAATCCACCGCACACTACAAACATTTGCTTGGAATGGAAACTTTATTTTAAAATCAGAAATGAAAACCTAAGCAAATATTCTTAAAGTGTATGGGATGTGTAAGGACCCATTGATAACCACAGAAAGGGATATCATTCGATAGCTACAATTTATCACAAATGCCCCAAAAATCAAAGATACCATTTTTTGGGGACAGTGCCGAGTGAAGGGAATCCCTCTTCGAAATTTGATATTTATTTTTAACCCATTTGCCAGAATTTTACTTACCACTTGAATATATTGTGACTTCTAGCCACTCATCGTTTGAATACCGCACAGTACGCACTTTTGAGGTTCTCAAAATATTTGGCAAGCGCTTCTGCAATTTCTCGAATTTCCCGCTAATGTTATTTTTCACTCTCCGTCTGATTTATTTGTGATGTGGCAGCGGCTGCGGTTTGGCCGGGGAGTAGAAATATTTGTTTATTTTCCAACCATTTTGGCTGCTAATTTGCATTAGTTGCTGGCCATGGAAAATGGCGGGGCTATCTTGTATTTCCCCACCCTTGTGAGCTGGCTTTCTGTTTATTTTGCGCGCGCGATTATCAAAACTATTGTTACTACTAGTGCTAGTGTATAATTTTGTTGATTTAACTTTAGTTCAACGATCGAGTTTCGAGTTTAGTTTGGTGCTTTAGTTGGGCTGTCGTTTGTGAACTGCACGTTTCGGCATTGTTTTGCATACTGCGCGCCGCATTTGCCGGCGAATTTTGTTGTGGTGCATGCAAATTTTCCGACTGCAGAACCGCTCGTATTTACAGTTGCGTTCGGACTTCGGGTCGCAGGTTCGTCGCCCGATTGGCCTGATGCGTGTTGCGTGCTGCGGTCGCCGGGCTGTTGTTGTTGCCGCCGCTTTCCCTGCTGCAGTTCCTTCAATTAACAGCTGGCTTCTCTCCACCGCACTCTCTCTTTCTCTCCCACACTTTCTCTCTTATACGAACTCTCACTTTCGTTTACTGTTGTCTGGCTAACATTCCGCTGCTAACGGGTTCGGTACTGTTACATTTTTCATGGCAGCTTGTTGATTCCATTTTGATTATAAATAAATAAAAACATTATAAATATATAGTTTTATCTATTTTTATGAAAGCTATTAGCTATGATATAAATATGAAGATAGGACTAACAGTTAAAACTAGAAAGCTTTAATAAAACTCATCATTAAAAATAGTATATCAAAATTACTCATACGCACTGTTGGTTTTATTTAAATTTACGCTCTTCTTTGTATATTATTTTTATTATTAATTTAATTTATCAGAAATTATGCTGTAACCACTAAATATTATAATTTTATGGCTTTTAGAACTGAATTTCGAGGTATTCATTAAAATTACCCATACGCACTGTTGCCATTTTCAGCATTTAAACGTTTTTCCAGTTAAAAACTATTGAAATCTCTGTTATGAACTGCTTGCGGTATGCAAATTAATCGAGAAACAACATAATAGCTCCCATTTATAAAGAAAAATATATTTTTATTACTCATACGCCATGTTGACACACAAGCTGTATACTTAAAAGTTGTATACTTTACCATATATTAATTTTTACCTTTAACAAGAACAATTAAATTTTTAAAAACTATAAGTTATTTATAATTATAAGGATCATCTATTCAATAAAGATCATCTATCTAAAAAATTTAATATTACTTATACCCAACGTTGAAATTTTATAATTTTTTTTAATCATTCTTTGAATATAGATTTTTATATATTTTTAGTTGTTTTAGCTTTGGTTTAATAAATTCAAATTTATTTTAAATGATCAATTAGTAATCAAAAAGGTACAGATAACTCATACGCCCAGTTGCCATTTCTACGACATGCATTCAAATTCATAAGCAATTAATCCAGCTGAACATTTCCATCCAGTACTAGTATTAGGACTACCATTCAAATAATTATAATTCAATGTAACCTCAAATTAGACTGGATTCTGAGACTGGCTTTGATTGCTGATTGATAATTCTGCACAAAATTGCATGTATTTTGCAGGTGGCTGGTTTCCAATAATTGAAACTTGTAATCCAGCCAGCCCCTGACAACCTAGTCCAGCCAAAC